AACCAGTGGCTTCGGGGTCAGGTGTGGCTCGAGGACTTCATTGCGCCTCTTGAAATAATATGTTTTATAGAATTCGAAAAAAACGGCTCTTCTTGTCATTTTGGTTGCCGGCCCCTGCTACAGAGTATGACATTGTTTAGCTTGGAGATAAGAATCTCTGTCTCAGGTAACAATGGCATCATGTTAATATCTTTTGACACGAACGCCCACAGAATTTGTTCCATCAACACCGCCAGCGAATCCACAGCCGACAGCTACCTTCATCCCGAGACAATGGTGTTTTGCACCCCTGCAATTAACCCTTTAATTTTTTAATGACGTACTGGCATTTTACCATCGCACGTCACAAAGTACACTTCTTGAATTATAAAGATCACCAATAATTTTTTTCATTTTCAGAAATGAACACCCTAATGGAAAGCAAGATAATCATCTGCTTTCTTTCTACACCTTCACAAGTAATTCAATACGATCCGCCCACCATCGTGTGGTGAAACTTCCTTAACTGTGGGGGAAAAAAAACCCCAATTTAATTTTTACATGAAATTAAATCTGCATTGAAACGCCTCCAAAATCACAGCTCAAGTAAAGTTATAAAATAACTACTGTATTGCAACGCACTTAAACACTAATTCAGCATTTAAGACACTGGGAAAACCCCACCTCCCACCCCCATATGCAAATAAAACGTGACGTCATCATCATCGCGTGTGACCCCAGTTGTAGGTGCAGAAAAAATTCGCCCACACAATGCCGACTGAGCAAACACGTGAGGTGACATCAGCCTCTGTGGGCTGCAGTAAACAGCGAGAGACGACGCTGGCAAGTCAGTCGCTGTGCACACACAGTCGCGTTACTCCAGGTAACAGTGGAGGTGGACAGGTCACAGAAGATGGTGAGTTTACACTGAATGCTACCAGTAAGACAATAAGGTGTGTGGTCAACACACGGCAATGTTATGATGACTTTCAATGGAAATTTGAATGCAACAAACCCTCGATATAGACTGTAATTCACAGCCCTTTTGTCAATTCACTGCTGGTTGAAAGTCACCTTTCATCCAACCATAACATCACCAGGCTCCTGAGTACGGGTTGGTGAAGATGAGGGGGGACAGTATCAGTTGAGATATCACTTGCCACCGATGTCCGCTATAGTCGCGAATCAACCACTATGCCACCACTCCACCCACACACTCCCCATCTTACGAATACGAAGTAGTGTACAGCTTAAGCAAACGGAATGATGAGCGCCAAAATATTAAATAAAGGTCAAGTGACGTGGCAATCTTGTACTAGAAAAGAAAGTTTAACATTACCCACTTGATGCAATGGGTGGTGATTTTTCCCTTGCATTTGAAAGTAATGTTTTAGACATTTAGTTGGGCAGTTGAATAGTGCTTTTTTTTATTCAGCAGAAACTCAATACTCGATTGCACAATAATCCAAACAAGCAATGCAACCACACCAGTTTTAAAGCAAAATACTGGTTGGACATGTTTCTGTCCTCCCCATCATCCCTCCATGACTGACCCCACACCCCATCCATCTTAACTCAATCGTAAACCACTATAATAGCTGGAATGTACTCTCAGCACGACTGCGTAAAAAACAGGGGTCCGCATTTCTAAGGTTGTTTTTTAAAGGGAAGACATTTAAAAGTCACAAGGCACAAAGTGAAAAAACCTTTGGAAACCATGTGCGGGCAGGGCAGTGAAATTCAGGCTTCGATGTGGCGATGTCGCTATTCACATAATCAACTCCCATTCACCTGCATTGACAATGCAGCAACGCTGAAAGCAATTAGCAGCAGACGAACACAAGGCAACAGCGCTTATTGTTGAATATTGTATTACTCATACAGGGGAAAAACAGAAGGATTGGCTGATGGCAAGTGCTTGTGACAAGAGGGTGAATCAACTGCATTATAAAAATGCACAATTCCCCTTGGGCAAATACGCAAGCATTCAGCACACACCAGTGTTTGACACTTGTTGCATTACATTGACTGGGCAAGGTGTGTGACAGTGGTTCTCCACGCCAGCATTTTCAAACCACACACAGGCCAGCTCTCCATGTCTGACAATTTAATGTACTGCTTATATACTCAGGAGCACATTCCCCGCTTGTTGCAGAGTTACATGGTTTAAATACGGCAGACCGCCCTGGTTATAACTGTAAAAGTACATGTTTCAAAGGCGTTATACATGCCCTGTCATTGAAATGAGTAGGCCATTTACTCAATTTGGAAATACAGCAATCATCGCCCCCGTACTGGCAAACTAATTCCCGCTTACTGGCCAGGTACTGAGTCACCTTGTGCCGCACACATATCTACCGCTGATCGTTCCCTTTCAATTGTTTGAAATGAGATGCGATTGAAGTCGGTTATCACGTGTAAAGCGCTCTCAAGACGCCCCGACGAAAACAGCGCTCTATCAAACATATTCCTGCGGAGGGAGCTGGTAGGAACGTTGGATTGCTCGGTCAATGGCCAGGGTCAACGGCGGCGTGGTGTATTCCGCAAATATGGCCAACTAAGGGCGGGCACAAGCCGGCGTGAGTAGGTTAAACGTTGAGTTTTATAAGGGCACCACGGGGTGACCAGCCCCTCCCCACCCAGCCCTTCCCCACACAGCACCTCCCCACCCCTCCCATTTTTGGATGCACGACGGACGGACCCAAAATTCCCTTGTGGGATGGTATAACCAGGAGGTTCGTACCAGTAAAACCAATGATTAACTACATACAGGTGCCTCTCTGAGAGAACACCATTATCCAGCCACTAGATGGCACTCACTTACGTTTGGGTGGGTCCACGCCACCGCCTCCGTGCTAACACGTGGCGAAATACATGTGGCAATTGACTCATGCATTTTTTTGTTACCACCAAAAACACATGACTGGTGTTGAAAACAACCATTTTCAATCTGTGCTCATCTACTACTTCACAAAAGGACTTCTTCACTCAAACACAGTTCACTCTTAGTTTCTAGGAAAGGAGAGATACGCAGACAATACGTCTCGTTCATAAAATAACTATTTCACTCAACCTTCGGCCCCACTGTCTCCTGGAAGTGCATAATTTCAGCAAGAAAACGCTGAACCAGTTTCGACATGTATTCTCATCAGCAGTTAGGCTTGCTTGAATTAATGCTGGAGAACTGACAGATGTTACAGGAAATGTCCTCGCTCTTTCAGTTAAGTCGTGGACTACAAGTCTGATGTACTAACCATCACACCACAGCACCATCTAGATATTCGACGAGTCCTTTACATAATCTAATCGATAGTACCGTATGTATGTGGTCGATAGTAGATACACCTTGGCTTATATCTGCTTGTTCATGCTATTTGTTCACCTCTCAATATGCCATTACTCTGTTCCAAATAATCGTCAAATTGAGGTATGTCCATCATCTTGTCTAAATGCCACTGAATTGTCGGGCTTAAATGAAATAATTGATTGCCAACGATCGTTGCTACAACCACTTATTTTGTTACCACACATTTCACGACTATAGTCACGACTGTAGGCATAAACTAAACTAATCATTAGCTGAACATCCAGCAAATACACCTCACTCAGTAATAGAGGATAATAAAAGTAATATATTCTGGATAGCCTCAAGTCTCATGACTTTCGGTGGGGGTCCTGCATTGGTAAATTTGGCCAGTTACTTTTTATGATCATTATGATTCCTGCAGTTGTAAACCGGTGTACCTGGAGAAAACTCACCACGTACAAGAGGTAACAAAAACTTGTAAGAGGTTTATATTCATCCACTTTCTCTAATTTATTTCATGGTCACCACACAGCCCAGCGCATTCTCTCAATAATTCACCAACCCTTGCGCCTCCAAAGAAACAATGTGGAGTGATAATTAATCATCTACGACCATCAATCCAGTAAAGAAGGCCTTCCCCACTCCGCCGCGGTCACGGGAAGACGTTTGAACCCACCGAAATTCACAAACGCTACTCAGTGTGAAGTGATAAATGTAGCGTCCACAACTCGCCACTGATGTTAGCATTGAATCGAACCCAGGTATACAATAAAGCAGTGCGTTGACCACCGCGCAGCCGCTCCAAATCTATTCGATAATAGAGTCCACTTAATTAAGCATGTAACTTTGTCCCAATAAATTTCGATTTAAAGCTTTCGTGACTGCAGGAATTCATCTTCTTGGTTCTTTCGGTAAAGTCACGTAGAAGGGAAGTAATAAAATAATAAAAATAAAACATAATAAAATAATTCTCACGACGTTTCGGCCACAACGCAAGCAGCCGTCCTCAGGTGAAGAACAGGTCTGCTGATTCAGACGCTGTCTTTCCGACAGACCTGTTCTTCACCTGAGGACGGCTACTTGCGTTGTGGCCGAAACGTCGTGAGAATTATTTTATTATGTTTTATTATTTTATTTCCCTTCTACGTGACTTTACCTAAAGAACCAATAAGATTTGTCCCAACAGTTATCAGAAGCTTTACTTTTATCTTTCAAGTTAACATGAACTACTGGGGTAACATATGGATAACATGCAGACAGTATCCCAATGCCACCAAATTAAGTGTATGTTATCACCATGGCCAGAAATCAGTTCCACAAGCAGATGTACAATACAATAGATTCATAACAATGACACAAGCTTAAAGAAGCAACAATTGTGTAACCATTTTAATGCAAATGAGTGCACGAAGACGCGCAAATTTAAATGGTTTATTGCAGTTCGGGCGAGGCTGGTACGCTTAAGAGATATCCACAATTGATTCAAAACAAAACTCGCATGCGCCCATAACCACAACGTTTGACTTACTCTGTTACACACAGCGTACAGTTTAAGTACAATCTAAAGTTCGTAGTTGTAAACACTTTTTATAAATGTATAAATCTCTTCGCCTCATGCAAGCGGATGTTTAGGCCTCACCCAACCACACCGCCGAACGCCTACAAACGGCGAACGAAACGCCTCACACCAAAACAAAAAAAGGACACGGCTTACCCATTGCTGCACGTTACTCGGAGTGCGGGGAAGGATTAGAGCGTACACAAAAACACAAAAACAAACAAAACAAATTGACGTTAATAAATAAGCAAGCTGGCAAGCCCCGGCCGACTTGCGCTGCTGGACTTGCAAGGCCCACGGTTATTTACGTGTCAAGCCGCGCGGCTGCTGCGGCGGGGAGCCAACGTCACGCGAGGTGCGCACGAGACGCCGGCGGCCATGTTGGTAAGGGAGACTCCCCAATGCGTTGCTATAAAAGGGCAAGCGGTGGCCATGTTGCTAAGGGAGACTCCTAAATGCGTTGCTATAGGGGGGCAAGCGGCGGCCATGTTGGTGACGGAGACTCCCCAATGCGTTGCTATTGGGGGCAAGCGGCGGCCATGTTGGTGAAGGAGACTCCCTACTGCGTTGCTATAGGAGGGCAAGCGGCGGCCATATTGGTGAGGGAGACTCCCTAATGCGTTGCTATAGGGGGGCAAGCGGCTGGCCATGTTGGTGAAGGGAGACTCCCTAATGCGTTGCTACAGGGGGGCAAACGTTGGTTCAGTAAGTTCAGGACCCCCCTTTTTCCCCGAAAGACGTTAACAGACTGCGTGGGGAAACGTTCGCGAGCAACTGTGAAGGCCGGGACTGTGCCACAACGAGGGGTGATTGAGCAGGTAGGGACAGTAATCACGCCCGGCCGCCTTTGTCTCCCCACGCCGGCGATATTGACTGCACATCTTACACGGCGGGGGGGGGGGGGTAACTCGTTTGAGGTTAAGTAGAGGCTATCAAGGCCGGCACGGTACACGAGCGTGTGGGTGGTCATCACCACGGCTGTGTTTACACACCGCACTCGATACACATTTGTGACCGGGACGACTTAGCCGTAAGATAGAAATATTGAAGTATCGTAAGTCGGAGCATCGTAACTCGGGGACTCTCTGTAAAGTGTCTCAGAGGAGGTATGAACATTGGAGTTGTGCTCTTAGGTTTTTTCGGTAAAGTCACGTAGGTAAAAAAGAATAAATAATAAAATTTAAATGTGTACAGGGCTGTGCATATTGCAGTGTGATATTCGTTTTAAAATATGCGCTTTCGGCAGCAGACGCATCTGGTTACCCGCCAAATCGGGGAGGAATTGCCTGGGATTCTCACATCTTGCAGATGTGAGACGGAAGTGCATGTGACATTGCCTGGCCTGGCTTTATCATTGCATGGCTGTGCTTAGTGGAGGAGAGAGAGAGAGAGCGCCCCAAGAGGCTCAATAAGCAGAGCAGCAAATCTCCCGCCATCCAGTGGTTTTCCCTCCAAAATTCAGCACCCGGGGCCCTCTGAGCAACGCATGCTGCACGCCAGCTACTCGATTCGCAGTCTTGTTGGTTCTATTTGTTTGTAAGTGTGCACGAGTTAGGGTTGTCGTGCATTGATTGGCACTTTCCCTCGGGTCTTGCGTCGTCGGTGCTACGAACACGGGGGTGGTGGTGGTGTGGTAATTGTGTGTCGTTATTTGGAAGTGTCTGCGTTGTGTTGTAAATACTGTACGGTTGGTTACTTTAGCGTACGCATGGACATTGTCGTAGTTGGAGAGTGATTGTGTGTGTGTGTATTGTGCAGTGATTTCCTACCACTAGTTAGGATTGGGGTGGTGCTCGTCTTCAGTTTACAGGCCTGCGCCTGTGGTGGCAATTCCACCTTCCTATGGCAGGGCACGAGTCTATCGGCACCGTTGACGACAAAGTGGAAATGTTTTACCGGCCACGGATGGATAATGGGCTGAGTCAACCTCTATCCAGTATTTAAACTTGCAACCTTCGAATTGTGTATATTATAGTACTGTATTGCATAGTCTGGAGGGTTGTATGTGCTGCAATGTGTATACTATAGTGTCCATATACCAAAGTGTTTTTAATGGTGTGTCTACATTATAGTCTTGTGTATGGGCATGCTGTCGTATGTATTAATGGTGTATATACTGTATGTGTGTAATGAAGTGTTGTGTACAGGGCTGTGCATATTGCAGTGTGGATATATGTTTTAAAATAGCTATCGGCAGCAGACGCATCTGGTTACCTGCCAATCGGTGAGGAATTGCCTGGGATTCTCATCTTGCAGATGTAAAACGGAAGTGAATGTGACTTTGTCTGGCCTTGCATTATCATTGCATAGGCAGATACATGATCATTATCTCTTTTATATTCCTTATTCATTAATCATAGTCCATATGGCCGATCCAACGTAATCGTCTTCAAGATTCATAATGAATTTTGGGTCAGATTGCATAAGTTAAATGTGTCCTGTGCACTTCCCCCCACCCGACATAGACAATTACCTAATAGATTTGTTACTTGAATAGGCGTATCAATTTATTACTGTTTCAGCAAACAGGTGTGTGAAAGAGCAGTACATGTGTGCTGCTGCAGCAGCAATACATTATGAACACGTTTACGTGACAACTCTAATAATTGGCTGTGTCGGGTGGCGGAGGGTGTACGACACCAATCTTAACACGATCTGATCCAAAAATCTATTAAGTCATATGCTTGGTCGCGAAAGCCTACGTGTTGCAGTGAATCCTCATTAAATTACAAGGTGGTCAGTCGATTCTATTGAATGGAACCTGAGTCTGGGTTGAATTAGAAGCCACGTTCACCTGTGCGCTTTAATGTGGATGGTGCATGCAGGCAAAAACGCGACGTGGCATCATTGACTCGAGCATGGATGTCAAGCGTAAGACGGTGGGTGGGGGGCCGCTGACATCCTCCCAGGGCGCCATGGGGGGCAAGCGTGCCCGCTCAGATTGGGACGATGACTGCCCCACGAACTTCGAGGAGGAGCTCGCCTTCATGGACGACCTGGAGGCGGAGATGGCGCTGGAGGAACGCGAGGAAGAGACGGCGTCGGCCGCGGCCGCTGTGCCCGTCGGTGCGCACGTACCGCGAAGCGTTTCGTGATGCTCTCCGGCCTCGTGCACATCGTCCTCATCGTCATCACTGCCTTCATCATTGTTATCGGAATTGTCTCGATAATTGTTGTCATCATTATGGCAATCATCATGTTCATCGTCGTCTTTGTAAATCATAATTGTCATCATAATGATTATCATTTTCATCTTTAGCATGTCTGTCATTGTTATTGTTGTAATCATCTTTGCCATCATCTTTATCGTTGTAACTCATCATTACGCACAATTTACAGCTTCAGGTCTCAATGTATGTTATTCCCTGTTATATAATGGTTTATTTTTGGAACTTTGGATTTCCACGATATTCAGATAATTTTGATGAAATGCTTTGCCAAACATTCCAGTGCAGGATCCTCCTGAAAAATAGTCTTTAGACTCTACGGAGACTTCCCCAGGTATGTAGCTGACATACATAATTGGCTATTTTAATGTGGTTGAAACTAACCAAATCTAATTTTAAATACACATTTGAAACCTGCCAAATTAATGAAAGAAAATATCTCAAAATAGTAAAATAACAGAACCTATACTCTTGCCCTGTCTTATCTTTAATGTGTCCCTCCACTCTCCTTTCACCGTGGTGGCGAGATGTTAACTACCTCGTCTGGTATATTGGAGATTGTGGGTTTGACCCCGACCCTGACTCTTCTATATTTGACGTTTTCAAATCATAATACTTAATTTTCCCTGAATGCTGATGGCCAAATGAGTTACTCTGAGCTGTGAGCGCGATATGCTAGCTCTTTATAAATTACTGCCCAGACAAGGGACAGATATGGTGTAAAGGACAAATCAATTTTCGTACCTGACAGTAAGTGTTGTGTTAGGATAAGACAGTTGTGTCTAATTGTATCTGTTTATGTGCATCATGTGTGTGTTTGTGTCATTCAGGAAAGCTGCTGTCATCGTCTGTTTTTAACAACAAGTGGCTGCGTCCATCGTTACCCAAAATTGATCAGAAAAAAGAGTCGCTTGTGTTCCAGCAAATCGAGCTCGATCACTACATCGGTAAGGCTATACAGTAAACATTCTTTCATTCCACATTTAGCTATGATTTTCTTGATAAGTACAGTCGTTTCTTAGATTCTCCATTGAATACATTTTCACAAATGTCTTGTGAATGCAGACGTAACCACGCAAACTCTGGTCATCTTCCCAGTAGCTTTTGACTTCTTCCTAGCTTTGTTCCCGCTGTGGCGTAGGGTCCGCTTTTCGGCATTGTCTTCTCCATTTGGCTCGGTCCAGGGCATCTTCAGGGGATGCGTTGACCGTCTTTATGTCTTCCTTTATTCGATCCATCCATCGCTTCTTCGGACGTCCGCGTGGACGGCGGCCCTCTGGCTCAATACGCATGGCAGTCTTGGCTTTTGACTAACCAAACAAAAAACGGCCACTGGATCGCACGCTTTCGGATGCGCTTCTGTGGCCGCCTGTAACCCTCTTCCGATATTAGCAAAGCACTGGAACAGTGCACTTTTTAATATAAATTGAAAACTATATTTTTTAGAACTGCTTCTTGTGCTTCGTGTGTTGTCCTTACCCCACACCTCCGATGAGTACGGTCGGTTACGTATGGTGAAGTTTTTTTGTTGCATAATACATACATTTGTATTGGGTTCCATTAGTGAACATTAAATTAAGAAAAATCATTGACAATACAATGCTTTGTACCTTATTGCACATCCACACTTCTAAACACTGAGTCACATATTACAGAATTTACTCGTCAAAAATCTTTCATGGAAAATCTACCACAAAAGTATTGACTTTACGTCATAAAAAAGCTCATGCTTCTTTGTACGACGGTTCTGCTGGCAATGGTGAAACTCAATGGGCACAAGACTCATGATCTTCTTTCACAGCTTGCATGCAGTGGCCTAACGTAGCTCTCATTGGCTCTGTTGCGATAAATTAAATGGAGTCGCCCCCCCCCCTGTCCAACTTACTCCCCCCCCATCTTCATAACCAAGAACTTGGGCTCTTGCAGTTGCACGGCCTGCACAGTTGATTAGATACGCCACTGCGTGTGTGCTGTTATGTTTGTATTAATCAAAATAGTGAAAATTAAACAAGTGCAGCAAAATCCATTGCTGAGTTATACTATGTTCCAACATCGACACACCCCACCTTCATCTCAGTTGGTATTCCCATTGTGCTATCTTTGTTGTGTGTGCAGGCTTCCATGTGTCGGGGATGCCAGGAGCCACCCAGGGCTCCGTGCCAGTGGTTCGCATGTTTGGCATCACCAACAAGGGCAACAGCTTGTGCTGCCACGTTCACGGCTTTGCGCCCTACTTCTATGTAGCTGCCCAGACCGGTGACTACCTCATTTTCTTTCATGAGTTTTTTTTTTCTCTCTGTTGTATTCCTAATTGTGTAATTGTCATTATTTCGTAAGACGAAGTAACCATGCTGAGCTATTTCAGAGCAGAGAATAAATCCTTGTGTTGGATAATGACCAGAGGTCGCAACCGAGTACCCGATACCCGTACCCTACCCGATACCCGGCTACCCGTACCCGGCCGGGTACGGGTACCCGTTTGCGACCCTGGTGCGGCCGGGTACGGGTACGGGTAGGCCGTGAGTCACTGGCGAGTAACCGTTTGTCACTCATTTCAGGTAGGGTACGGGTAGGGAACGGGAACCCGTACCTGGCCGGGTACGGGTACCCATTTGCGACCCTGGTGCGGCCGGGTACGGGTAAGGAATCAAAACCCGTTTGCGACCTCTGATAATGACCCATGGAAGATATAACAGAACAGTTTTTGAGATCCCTTCAAGTTACCTATCGATTCTAGAGGCTTCATATTTGTTGCATGATCGTCAATATATATATATATATTTTTTGCAGCCACTTGTGAACATGTTTGAACCTTCAAGAAGTTATACTTGAGAACCAGATGTAATCATTGGTGGCTGAAAGCTGGATTTAAATCCAGGTTCTAAGTTGCACCAGCTTTATGGTCTGACTTGAGCTTCCCAGCCACGTGAAGAAATTTCGATCATTGACCCTTGGCCACTAATAAAGATGATTGCTGCCCAGCACTCGTGTGCACGTGGGAGCAACGCACTTTGAAAACCTTTTTGGAATTACAGACAGCATTAAAATCAGAGCTATGATCATACGAACCGTAACACTTTTTGTGCTTTGCAGGGTTTAAGTCGGAGCACTTGGTCAGCTTTAAGAGAGAGCTTAACAACGCGGTGATTAAGGACATGCGGTCTAACAAGGACAACTTGAGCCATGCGGTGCTGGCTGTTGACATTTGCGTCAAGGAGAGTACGTCCCAATTCCTTGCTTCATCCACAACCTCTTGCGCTGCCTTTTTGCATTCACTGCAGACTTTTAGCACTGACATTTCTGACCTTCACGACTCATCTGAGTGTATAGTAACTACTTAATACATGTAGTAAATCATTTTGTGTGTTTAACCTCATTGGGAAAATAGAATTGTATAAATATTGATGGGCGAGGAACTAATAGTAGACTGAATCTCAAGACTCAATTTCAGGAGGTTGTTTAGCCTAATTTAAGTAGATTTTTTATGGTTGGGGGTATACCAGAGCATTGTAACAAATCCCACACAAATAAGGGGATGACACTTAAGCGCCACAATGATTTAAACGCAACCAAATATCTGTACTTCCTACGGTCACTTGTTTCACCAGACTTGTTTCTCTGTAAGTGGTTGACATGTTTGGCTTGATATTGGCAGGTACATGGTGATTACATGCTAAACTTGACGCTCGGTAAGGATAAACATGGAAATTTGTATTAATTAGAATGGTGAAAATTAAACAAGTGCAGCAAAATCCATTGCTGAGTTATACTATGTTCCAACATCGACACACCCCACCTTCACCAACCCAATGACCAGCATGTTGAAGTTTGGTAAAAAAAAATCCTTACAACCCGCACCGATATCAGGAGCCCGTGATAAAGCAGTGCATTGTCAAAAGGGATGTCCACGTGCACATACTCATCGATTAATTGATGGATGGTGCTGCTTGCACCTCTCTGCGTGCCCTCCATTCAGGTATATATGGCTTCCACGGGAATCAGAAGAGCAACTTCCTGAAGGTGACGGTGGCTCTGCCTCGTCTCGTTGCGGCCGCCAAGCGGCTGCTCACGCAGGGCTTTCGCTTCGACTCGTTCCCCGAGCACTGCTACCTGTCCTTTGAGGCCAACATTGACTTCGAGATTAGGTTTGTAGATGCACGTGGTTCAGTTAGCCTTGGCGTCATCCTAATGTATTCAGCGCCGATGTAGATTTGTTTGTTTTTGTCTTTTTAAAATAATGATATTTAAATTAAACGTGTAGTTTTATGGCAGCCGATGATTCATAATTGTTTTTTTTTTTGTATTAGGTTCACGTAATAATCTGGGCGAATTTCTGAAGTAAGACCCTCCTGCACCCGATATAGCCAAACAAATTAATAATAATTGGAGCGGTAAATGTGAAAATCTTTGGCTTTGTCAGGTGGTGGGGAAGGCGTAATGACAGATCATTACGTGGCCTCACCCTAAAATCAATTATGAATCAATTATTGAAGTTGTGCTGATCAGCAAATTAGCTTGATATTGATAAATGGCCATTCTCCGCAAATCTGATTAGCACGGTGGGACGAAGTACGGTGCAAAAGAAGTTCAACATACATACGTTGGGAACGCCCAATTGCCAGTGCATCAATGCGTATTAGAGAACGCCCCCTCTGATGGTTGTTTTCACACAATTATTTCTGAGGTCCCTTCAATTGCCCCTTACCCACACTTGGGACACTTCACGTTCTCTAGTGTGCTATCGGAGACCTTTTTTTGTGTGGCAGTGAAACAATATTATTAAAAAAGGTGTCAGTTTTGTTGCCAGATAGAAGGGTAAAAAAAAACAATTATCATATTTTTTACTGGCAAATGAGGTTCCAATGGAATATTATTTGTGCTCGGAGCTGGAAAAAATATGTAAATAAGTGAAAACCAAAGTCAATGCTATGGATTTTCTGTCGGTCATTGTTCAATATTTATCTCCAAATATGTTTCAATTGTCCTATCAGCATCATCGTGAGAGGAAGGATCCAGAGCAGTGCATCACCCTGTTTTGGAGAATGGTCCATGGAAGTAGATATTACAGGATTGTTTTTGAAATCTATGCAAGTGACCTCTTATCTATACTATGAGCAACACTTGTTCACCTGCCCTGCCACTTCATAATTCAACGTCATAGATGGAATTTGGCAATATCAAATGTGCAGGGTTTTGTTGATGCTTACAGTAATTGTTGAAGAAGATTCATAATAACCTTGTGCATTTACAATTTTTGCGTGGAAATCATTCACGGATTACGGCCCTAACGTTGAAACTGTGAGTGGACTGACTGTGTGTGTGTGTGTGAAATTTCATTGAGGCAGGTTTATGGTGGACCATAAAGTAGTGGGGTGTAACTGGATCGAGATTCCAGCTGGGAAGTACCGACTGCGCGAGGAGTCGGCCTCTGGGGATCTGCCTGGCAAGGTGCGTCACCTCCACTCTCCGCTTTAGGTCCCATCAGCCACTACGGCCCTCTCCTTTACCCCGTTCACCGTTTCCGCGTTGAGCCGGCTTGCTGCGGCATGTTCAGAATAAATAAACTTCCCCGTGCTATATTTGTACTTCGCAGATGTCCCTTGTTCAGCTGGAGGTGGACGTAGCGGTGACGGATTTTGTGAGCCACCCGACCGACGGGGAGTGGCAGGCGATCGCGCCGCTGCGTGTGCTCAGCTTCGACATCGAGTGCGCGGGGAGGAAAGGTGCAGCTCGTGACAATGAGTGGTTGAGTCATTTGGTTGTAGAAAGGCATTTTCTACTACAGGCACTCCTCGATTTACCAACGCCCGAGCTACGAATATTCCCGCACTTACGAACCGAAATATAAACTAAAATAAGATTACTTTGTCGGTACCGATCCTCCAATAAGGCCATTGCGGTCGGGGGTATGGCGCAGTTTGGCGCCAGCTATCATAGAGTGCGGTCGTGTCACTACAGCTCTCAGTGGTGAGTACAATGTCTTTAAAGATAACGGCGTATTGCCTCGAAATAAAGTTTACTCTGAGCCGCTTGCATGTTCCGAGATTCAGAGGTGAATGGGATCCAGACGTCTCGGAACAGGGAAGGGTTCATTTGCTTTGCGCAAGGGCAGGTCCCATGGCTTAACGATATTTATCGCATCTGATCCCCCTCTTGCTCTTCACCTCACAACACCACAATCCATAATTGTGTTTTTGAGCCATAACTATGGGAAAAGGAGTTGAGGTGTTTTTCTTCGTCTCCCTCAAGTGTGTTTGTATAGGTGACGCCATAACTCGATGAAGATTAATGCCATATCCAGGGCAATCTATGTCGTAAAAATGTCTAGTTTTTACACTTTGCTTGTTTGTATGTATGTATGCAAAACCTTTGGAGAAAATATACAGGTTTTTCATCAAAATGGGCGTTAAGCACCTGCCAGTCCACACTTTTTTCTTCCACAACTCACTAATGACCTTTTTTTTACATTTAATGTTTACTCGTTCCATTCCATCTTCCACCTGCCTGGTCCGCCCGCCCACTCGCTCGCATGTGTGCAGGTATCTTCCCGGAGCCGGAGAAGGACCCGGTGATTCAGATCTCCAACATGGTCTTACGTCAGGGGGAGCGCGATCCCTTTGTGCGGAACGTGTTCACGCTCAACACGTGTGCCCCCATCGTGGGGTGCGATGTGCACAGTTTCACTCACGAGGGCGAACTGCTGAAGGTGCGAACGACCGACCTCGCAAAGGCCACATGAATCGGGTTGCGACAGAATTTTTTTTTTAAACAATATGCGTGTGGCCGTTTTGCAAAACCACTGCTTGATGAGGGCCTCCGCTATGCTTTGTCGGTAATCAGTAAGGGTTGGTGAAGGTGGTACACGTCGACTGAGAAGTACAGGAGAGCTACTTATTTTGCTGCACAGAACTTTGCTGCCCACAACTATGTTGTGAATTGATGCCAATGATATGGGAATACAGTTTACATATGTTAAATCTTTATTTTAAGCTTTCGTGACTGCAGGGATTCATATTAATATTATTTCCCTTCTGCGTGACTTTACCGAAAGAACCAATAATATTTACATATGTTTTGTAAGATCATGTTAAAATATTTTTTTCTTTCATATCATATTGATACATTTAACAATTGCCGCAGTGTTTGTCTGCTGGGCGAAGCACCATTGAAAACGAGCTGTGTTGTTCAATGGGATATTTCCTCGGGTAATAAACTTCTGATTCTGAATTGGTGGTTGAATCGAATCATGACATTGCATCAAATCACTGGATGTGTTGATCGTTATTTATAATACTTAATGATTAATTGTAGATGGACCATAACCAAAAGTGTGCTCATTAGTCATCCATGCTTTCTACGATTCATACTTAACTTCATTCATTAGTAAGTGGAAAGCTTATGATGTTACATTATGAAGAACACCAAATACATTAGACTGAAATAACGATCATGAGTGTAGATTAGATAGCAATCCCTTGTGTATACGTGTTTTAATTCAAGATAATTGTATAGAAAATAACAGTAAAAACGCTTACTCTTTTAACTGCAGGTACTCATCCCGTTTTGCAAAAGACCTTAAGAATCTCAGCAGCCTCTCACCAGTTAGAAGAACTAGTTTCATAAACACTGAAATGTTTTTTTTTTACACCTATCATTAGGCATGGGCCGAGTTCGTCCGCATCGTTGACCCGGACATCATCACCGGCTACAACATCCAGAACTTTGATTTGCCCTACCTGCTCAACAGGGCCAGCACGCTGCGGGTGAGAAGGTCACGACATGGCACCATCACACGCGCATTTTTGTTAGCTGTTACCGTGGAGAAAAACGCTTGATGGTTTAAATTCCGATTTTTTTTTACGTCTTTGAAATGTTTTTTACCCAGGTGTCAACGTTCTCTTTCCTGGGCCGAATTACTTCGATGCGCTCCATCATCAAGGAGTCGTCCTTCCAGTCGAAGCAGATGGGGCGAAGGGACAACAAGGTCATCAACTTGGAGGGCCGTGTAACCTTTGACCTCCTACAGGTCAGCAACCGCCATCCTCCCCCTCAATTGTTTATTTTAATTTTAGGTTTGCTTTCTTTATATTTTGTGCTGTGTGAGTTTTGAACGCAATTTTATTTTCATTTCTTTTTAACTGGTTGACTTTTGACACACGTGCAATGCAGCGCTTATGAATGCGTGGTAGACTGCTGCCCTGGTGGTCTATGAGGCAAGCAGCGCTACCCTGTGGGGCTACGAGACAGGCCATCGGCACGAGCAAGTAGGTTGCCAATATATCTGTACGGGTTTTTGAGCGCTGTCCCGATGGTGTGGCAAGGTGCTGCTGCGAGACTACAAGCTGCGCTCGTACACTCTCAACGCGGTCAGCTTCCACTTCCTGCAGGAGCAGAAGGAGGACGTGCAGCACTCCATCATCACCGATTTGCAGGTGCGTTCATTTACGTACCGCTATGCTGGTCCGCAGTACTGAGAACTCTTGTAATTAGAATAATATGCTTGGTTTATCGAATAGTGGGCCAGTGGTGCTTTAATTTCAGCATTTCTTCCTTAAAACATAATGGGACTTTCTCATAATAGGCAATTTTTAAATTTAGGAATATTAATTTAAACTTGTAATTTATATTGGGGGAGTGGTGGTGCAGTGATTTTAGTTCCCTGTCATGGCCAACATCATTCTTGAAAGACATCTGAATCGGTGATGACCACTGTCCAACGTGCATTGTGAAGTATGGTAAAGCAACTCTCAATTATTGCCACGATGTTGAGAGACCTACATCCAGCAGTGGATTGACATTTGCTGCAAATTATTATTATAATAATAATTCGAGTTACGGATGGTCAAGTGGAGTAACAGAATGGCAGCCAAGGAATGGAACACGCCCAAGAGGTCGATTGATAGTGTGAAGCAGTAAAATCAGCTCGTGTGCAGGTGCTTGGTGGATTCTTACATCGTGACGGCTTCGAAAGGCCTTTGTCCAGTGGTGGATTGACTGTGGCTGACGATGTTAATGTTGAGTAAGAGCAGTAAAACGAGAACACCAATGGGATTTTTACCGTGGCAGAATGGCAACGAGCAGACGCGCCGCCGGCTGGCCGTGTACTGCCTGAAGGATGCGTTTCTGCCGCTGCGGCTTCTGGAGAAACTCATGTGCGTCATCAACTACATGGAGATGGCGCGCGTGACGGGCGTACCGCTCAGCTACCTGCTGACCCGAGGGCAGCAGATCAAGGTCGTGTCGCAGCTGCTCAGACAGGTGAGCGGTCATCCACCTCTGGCTGCGTTTGCTGGTCGGATTGTTCGCTCGCACACACGCAATACACTCAGCGACCAGTGTCCCTGGTCTGTGTGTGTTTTAGCTCTCAATTATTTTTTTTGCTTGTGGTAACCACTGCACGTTGAAAGAGTGGTAGTGCAGTGGTTAGGACTCTGTGTTATGTACCCAGTGAACTGAGTGCGATTGCCGGCCATTGCTAACATTTTCATATTCTTAGGTTTTTTCGGTAAAAAAAAAAAATCACGACGTTTCAGCACGTGCTGTGACGGTTCCACCTGAAGACGGAAGCTTGTGTTGCCTCCGAAACGTCGTGATTTTTATTTTATTTTTATTTTACTTTTATTAATTTTAATTTTTTACCTACGTGACTTTACCGAAAAAACCTAAGAATATGAATCCTTGCAGTCACGAAAGCTTCAAATCTAGAATTGCTAACATTACTGGTGAGCGATATCTGAACCGGTCCTGGGTCTCCATCCCCCGCCCCCCTCAGCCATTTCCCTTTCCACATCATTTTCACCAATCCACACTGATTGATCCTTACCTTCGTGGTACACGCATTGAGTCATCCACCTGATAATAGGTTGATCACAATTCATAATGATCTTATACGGATGGTGTTTGCCACACCATCCTGTTCATTTACCATACCAGCTTTAATAGGTGCTCAATAACACCACTGTCCCCGTGTGTGTGTGTCTGCCCGTGTGCCTCTGTGTGTGTTTATCAGGCAATGAAGCAGGACCTGTTGTTACCCGTCGTGAAACCGGAGGGGAACGAAGATTATGCAGGAGCCACGGTCATTGAACCGATCAAAGGGTAACAAACTCGCTTTGAAAACACTTGGACACTGGCACGTGTAGATTTTCATGTATGTTGGGGAGCGTTAGTGTAGCGGTGTTAGCACCTTGCGTTACGAACTTGGAAACCCGATTTTGATTCCCACTCACAGCCAATACCAGTGACGATTATGTGAACCGACTCGGCCTTAAATGAGTACCTAGTGTGGTGTGTATACATTCCCTCTAGGGAGATAAAGGTGGCCGGGCGTGGTGTTGGCCAAGCACCACCTCGTGTGCTGTGCCGGCCTTCATAGGTGCCCGTTAATAGCATGTCCCTCAACAGTTTAAGGCTATACGGTGGATATTTGCCTTTGTATGTTGAACTTCTTTTGCGCCATACGTAGCCGACCGTGTTGAACGCAGAGCGTCGGCCGACGTTCTTTGTTAGTGGCTGCATTAGTTTGTGACACTGATGCCGGTTCCGTGCAGATACTACACGGTGCCCATCGCCACGCTGGACTTCTCGTCGCTGTACCCATCCATCATGATGGCTCACAACCTGTGCTACACCACGCTGCTGCAGAAAGGCGTTGTCGAGAGTCTGGGGTGAGCCCTCGGAAGGCAACTCGAACGATCATTCGCAGAATTGTCACGGTACAGGGACACAACTTGAATCTCCAGAATGCATTATTTTTTCCGCCTGCATGGAGGGCACGGAGGTGCAAGCAGCACCACAATAAAGCAGTACAATCGATTTGTCGACTTAACATATTATATGTCCATATTTGTGTCTTCTTGGTTCTTTCGGTAAAGTCATGTAGAAGGGAAAAAAAAACATAATAAAATACAATTCTCACGACGTTTCGGACACAACGCAAGCAGCCGTCCTCAGGTGAAGAATGATATGTAAATTCCTTTGTCAAGGCGCTCTCCTCTAACCCCTGCTTAAATATACGCTGCCAAGCCTGGTGGTGTTCATTGGGACGCTGTCTTTCCGACAGCCCTGTTCTTCACCTGAGGACGGCTGCTTGCATTGTGGCCGAAACGTCGTGAGAATTGTATTTGATTATGCTTATTTTTATAATTTTATTATTTCCCTTCTACGTGACTTTACCGAAAGAACCAAGAAGATGAATCCCTGCAGTCACGAAAGCTTTAAATCGAAACATTTGTGTCGTTAAGACGCCTCATTTCTGGCTTCCTGGATTGTTATTCTGACTTGTTGGATCTTGTCCTGATGATGTTCGATGTAGTTTAAAACAAAAAGTCTTATCTCATTGCTAAATTCGCTTCTGAGAATTGTTCGTCAACTTGCCGGTGAGCTGAAACAACAATAATTTGCGCTTTAAGCACTTGTACACGTGACAGTTTAATTTGTTTGGCTGTGTCGGAGGGTCTTAAGGACTTCATTTTGATCAGATCATTACGTAGCCTATCCCAAAAATCTATTATGAATCATTGTATTCATTACTGAGTCGTGAAGGTGTAACGATTGATCTGCCCAGGATGTCCCAGATTTGTTGCAATTCAGGGATGTGATTCCATGAGAATCGAATTATTTGTTTACAGTTTGGTGAATGTAGTAGTTTCTAGTGACTGCAGCGGTCATGCACAGAGGTTAGGTACAGTCTAAATAAAGATACTTATATCTAAAAGATAAGAACTTTATTTATTTTTTTCTTCAATCTCCAGTTGTCAGAATCTCAAATGCAGATTAGGTTTTGCCCTTCGCACACATTTTACGATTGGTTAACAATAATACTTGCTTTGTGGTGGAATATTTGGGCTATAAGGAATGGAGTTTGAAAAGCCTTGCCCTTCATTTAAATGTAACAGATTGTTGTTGGCATCCATCGCGGAGCGCTCAGCTGACAATTACAAATCTATAATGATTTTGAATCCTGGTCATGGATCACCTCATCCTGTCATCCCGTCAAACCTCTGGGGTCAATAGAATGAGTACCGCCTTGTGTGATGTCAACAGCGGTCAGCCGATTGATAAACCATTCCCCGCAATACATGTGTGGCTCGTGACCATCGGTGGAAATGACACGAGCACTACCCTGCCGTTCATTCTATTATGAACACACTGACTTACGTATTTTTAAGCTTTTCTTTTCTCGTTTGAATCAGGCTGTCGGCCGAGGACTTCATAAAGACCCCGTCTGGAGACCAATTTGTGAAGAGCTCTGTGCGCAAGGGGCTCCTGCCAGAAATCCTGGAGAATCTTCTGTCTGCCCGAAAGAAGTACGCCTTCGCACCCCGTACCAGCCACGTAGCATTTGGAGGGGCTGTAGGTGGCTAAGCCCCCCCGAACTCCACCCCTACTGAAGACTTAGCCTCCTTCCAAGTTATTTCTAAGCCCTCTCCCCACCCCCTACTAAGGCTTCACCCCCTTTTCAGGTTCTTATCTCACTCCGCCCCTACTGAAGGCTTTGCCCTTCTTACAAGTTATTTTCTAAGCCCCCCTTCCTACCCCGACTGAAGACTTAGCAATCCTTCCAACTTCTTATCTAAGCCACACACCCACTACTGAAGACTTAGCAATCCTTCCAAGTTCTTATCTAAGCCCCCCTTCCTACCCCGACTGAAGACTTAGTCCTCCTCCCAACTTCTTATCTAAGCCACACACCCACTACTGAAGACTTAGCAATCCTGGCTTAGCCCTCCTTTCAAGTTCCTATCTCTGCCTCCCACCCAGCCCCTACTAAGAGGCTTAGCCCTCCTCCCAAGTTCTTATCTAAGCCACCCACCCCCTACTAAAGGCTTAGCCCTCCTTTCAAGTTCCTATCTCTGCCTCCCCCCCAGCCACTACTAAAGGCTTAGCCACTCTTCCAAATTCTTACGACCAAGTAAAATACTTTGTTTGCAGGCTCTCCTCACGTACGTAGGGGGTGATATCTGAAGGAGATAGGCAAAGTCAGATCATATCAGTACTCATCTTCTTGGTTCTTTCGGTAAAGTCACGTAGAAGGGAAGTAATAAAATAATAAAAATAAAACATAATAAAATAATTATCACGACGTTTCGGCTACAACGCAAGCAGCCGTCTTCAGGTGAAGAATGAGACACTACCAAGCTAGGAGCTTATATATACTCTGGGTTGGAGGTGCAAGAAGAGCGCCTTAACAAAAAAGAATGTGCATATGAAGAGAAATTTAGCATATTCATGGGAAATGCGTAGGAGGTGGGCGGGGGGGTTTCAAAGTCATATTATGCCCATGCATTATGCAGGATCAGCAGCACCAAGGGAGGGTGCAGGGAGTAGCATTAACAAAGAAAAGGAATGTTAATAGTATGTAGCTGCAGTTACTAAACAACCACGTAGAAAACTAAAGTATAAACTACATAAAAAAAATAAACTATAAACTGCATAGCACCATCAGTATACTTACTCTACTCTACAATAAGCTGAGTTACTCACAGCAAGTAATACATTACAATTCTACGTCGTAAAAAATTATATAATATGCTTCCATCTAAACTTTATTCTCTTACATCACACGAGCATACACCGTACTATATACTGCCATAGATAAACCCAACATTAAATTACATACTGTATTGCTATAAACCACCCTATACCTTATACATTTTAATATAACACTATGTATTATTCTACCCACCTTAATGTGTATCACACTGCTATATGTTTACTATACAATTACGATACTATATATTACTTTGTACATTGTATTAAGCATATAAATGTTATACTATATGTACAAAGTAATACATAGTATCGTAATTGTATAGTAAACATATAGCAGTGTGATACACATTAAGGTGGGTAGAATAATACATAGTGTTATATTAAAATGTATAAGGTATAGGGTGGTTTATAGCAATACAGTATGTAATTTAATGTTGGGTTTATCTATGGCAGTATATAGTACGGTGTATGCTCGTGTGATGTAAGAGAATAAAGTTTAGATGGACGCATATTATATAATTTTTTACGACGTAGAATTGTAATGTATTACTTGCTGTGAGTAACTCAGCTTATTGTAGAGTAGAGTAAGTATACTGATGGTGCTATGCAGTTTATAGTTTATTTTTTTTTATTTTATTTTTTTTATGTAGTTTATACTTTAGTTTTCTACGTGGTTGTTTAGTAACTGCAGCTACATACTATTAACATTCCTTTCCTTTGTTAATGCTACTCCCTGCACCCTCCCTTGGTGCTGCTGATCCTGCATAATGCATGGGCATAATATGACTTTGAAACCCCCCCGCCCACCTCCTACGCATTTTCCATGAATATGCTAAATTCCTCTTCATATGCACATTCTTTTTTGTTAAGGCGCTCTTCTTGCACCTCCAACCCAGCGTATATATAAGCTCCTAGCTTGGTAGTGTCTCATTCTTCACCTGAAGACGGCTGCTTGTGTTGTAGCCGAAACATCGTGAGAATTATTTTATTATGTTTTATTTTTATTATTTTATTACTTCCCTTCTACGTGACTTTACCGAAAGAACCAAGAAGATGAATCCCTGCAGTCACGAAAGCTTTAAATCGAAATATCAGTACTCGTTCTGTTTAACGTTGAGCATTTGTTTAACATATGTATGTATGTTGAACTTCTTTAGCACCGTACGTAGCCAACCATGCTAATCGTGCCCCCCGCCCATGGAGTTCTTGTATCCCCCCTTTAAATAAGGTTATACTAAAGGGTTTCTTATTCTTGGTTCTTTCGGTAAAGTCGCGTAGAAGGGAAATAATAAAATAATACAAATAATAAACAATAAAAAAACAATTCTCACGACGTTTCGACTGCAACACAAGCAATCATCATCAGATGTGAAATGCACACCTGATGATGATTGAAAGAACCAAGAATATGAATCCCTGCAGTCACGAAAGCTTTAAATCAAAATTTAAAGGGTTTCTCTCGACTACTTTGCTGAAAGGAATGAACGCCGTTGGTTGAGAATTACAATGGAGTGGCAGCCAAAGGACGGAACTCGTCCTAGAGCAGGTCCTACGTGGATTGCAACATCTTGGGACAGTGAGAGGTGGTGCTGGCCGGAGGAGGCTATCACCCAGCAGTGGATTTATTGTGGTTGCTGAAGTTAATGACCTCCATACCTCCCTAGCCCACTCATGGAGTCTCAACTGTGGTACTTCCAGCATTGCGCACAGCTATACAGAGTGTTGGCTGCATCATATTTAACCAACCCCAAGCACACTTGGTGTGAAGCCTCTGCTGCAGTCTTGGCACAGGCTGTGCGGTTTGAGGCTGTGCTTTCAAGTTTTTTTGTTTGTTATTTAACCAAGTGAGAACTCAAGAGACCAGGATATTTCAAGAGTGACATGGATCACCAAAATGATAAAAGCAAGACAAAATAAAGTACAACAATGACACAAATAGAAATTAGAGGAAATATATCTCTGTAACGCAAGAAATTTAAAATATTCCGTAAACATATATCATCGTTAAATAAGAAATTCCAGTAGTTATCAAACACTCGAACGGAAATAGCTCGAGTGTGTGATGTGTTTAAAGGTCTCAATGCAGTCCTTGATCATTGATCAAAAACCATCATTCCAAATTGGTCTCGGAAAGATAAGCAGGGGACTGGATACTAAGTAAGATGAAGATTTGCTTCTGCAGGCAAGGTAGTAAATCTGGCCGGATGGTTTAGCGGTTAGAGTGTGCGACTCGAATTCCAAAGGTTATGGGTGAAAATACTTGTCAGGGATTGACTTGGGCCTTTGTCTTCCAAGGGTTAAGTGGTTTTTCCATGGCAGGGCTGGACCCTTGCCATGAACATGTGGTTTTCACCCATTGTCTGAAGGCTATAAACATAAATTAAACACCTCTGCAAGCTAATTTTGAGAGACTTTGAGGAGAGGAAAATGTGTATATGTGTTTGAGAGTGTGTTCATGTGAGTGAGTGCAGGTGTGAGTGAATGTGCAGATGTACAAAATTATTTGAATGGCACACCGAGAAGTAATATTGAGCCTCTTTCTGGTATTATTACGTGATCTAAACTGTCAGCCGATTTACCACGTTGGATGAGGGCCGCACACAATTTCATAGCCAACCACGTATTAAATTTCGATTTAAAGCTTTCGTGACTGCAGGGATTCATCTTCTTGTTTCTTTCGGTAAAGTCACGTAGAAGGGAAGTAATAAAATAATAAAAATAAAACATAATAAAACAATTCTCACGACGTTTCGGCTACAACGCAAGCAGCCGTCTTCAGGTGAAGAATGAGACACTACCAAACTAGGAGCTTATATATAAGCTGCATTGGGGGTTGAAGAGCGCCTTAACAAAAAGAATGTGCATGTGAAGAGGGATTTAGCATATTCATGGAAAATGCGTAGGCGTTGGGCGGGGGGGTGTCAAAGTCATATTATGCCCATGCATTATGCAGGATCAGCAGCAACCAAGGGGGGTGCAGGGATTAGCCGTAACAAAGGAAAGGAATGTTAATGATATGTAGCTGCAGTTACTCAACAACCACGTAGAAAACTAAAGTATAAACTACATAAAAAACTAAAGTATAAACTGCATCGCACCATCAGTATACTTACTATACTCTATAATAAGCTGAGTTACTAACAGCAAGTAATACATTACAATTTTACCATCTAAACCTTATTCTCTTACATCACACGAGCATATACCGTACTATATACGGAAGGACGTAATAAACCATTTCGATACACATTAGGGTGTGTAGAATAATACATAGTGTGATATTAAATGTATAAGATATAGGTTGGTTTACAGCAATACAGTATATAATTTAATGTTGGGTTTATCTATGGCAGTATATAGTACGGTATATGCTCGTGTGATGTAAGAGAATAAGGTTTAGATGGAAGCATATTATAGAATTTTTACGAGGTAAAATTGTAATGTATTACTTGCTGTTAGTAACTCAGCTTATTATAGAGTATAGTAAGTATACTGATGGTGCGATGCAGTTTATACTTTAGTTTTTTATGTAGTTTATACTTTAGTTTTCTACGTGGTTGTTGAGTAACTGCAGCTACATATCATTAACATTCCTTTCCTTTGTTACGGCTAATCCCTGCACCCCCCTTGGTTGCTGCTGATCCTGCATAATGCATGGGCATAATATGACTTTGACACCCCCCCGCCCAACGCCTACGCATTTTCCATGAATATGCTAAATCCCTCTTCACATGCACATTCTTTTTGTTAAGGCGCTCTTCAACCCCCAATGCAGCTTATATATAAGCTCCTAGTTTGGTAGTGTCTCATTCTTCACCTGAAGACGGCTGCTTGCGTTGTAGCCGAAACGTCGTGAGAATTGTTTTATTATGTTTTATTTTTATTATTTTATTACTTCCCTTCTACGTGACTTTACCGAAAGAAACAAGAAGATGAACCACGTATTAATTAAATGAACGATTAACACCGAATGGAAGAAGAGCACGGTAAAACTAACAACCCCATCGGGTCTGCGTGTGTGTGTGCTCCGGGCGAAGGGCCAAGCAGGAGCTGAAGAACGAGACGGATCCATTCAAGCAGAAGGTTCTGGACGGCCGACAGCTGGCACTGAAAATCAGTGCCAACTCGGTGTACGGCTTCACCGGTGCCCAAGTGGGCAAGCTGCCCTGTCTGGAGATCTCACAGGTATGCTTGCCAGTTGGCACCATGACCAAAGATCCCCCATATAGCCTTAACAGACTGTAGGAGCAAGTGCTGTTAGCGAGCACCTATGAAGACCGCAACGGTACACGAGGGGGTGGGTGGCCAGCACCATGCCCGACCGCCTTTGTCTCCCTAGTGGTGATGTTTACACACCGCACCAGGTACTCATTTGAGGCTGAGTCGACCTAGGGGAGGCCCAGGACCGGTTCAGATAATCGTCACTGGTGTTGGCCGTGAGCGGGAATCGAACTCGGGTGGCCGGGTTCATAGCGCAGCGCGCTAACTGCTACACTATCGCTCCCCACGCACCATGACCACACAGAGTATCACAAACAGCTGCTGTCCAACACCCAATAGGGTCCTGTTACAGGTTTGCTATCTCCTACCAATAGGGTGTTGGACAGCAGTTGATAATGAGTACCTATCTTAGCTGACGTAGCACACGAGGGATGGTGGAGTTGTCAGCACACCTTTGTATTCCTGGTACTGATGTTTATCAGTGAACATTGGGCAGTTCAGGCGAAGGTCAATGTACCACTGAATGAAACACGTTTTTTTCTGTGGAATGCTGCAGAGTATTGTTCTGTGTTGCGGTGTGTGTATGTGTGTGTGTTTGTGCCTCTGCTTTTTTGTGTGTATGTCTGCACTTGTGCATGTCTTTGTGCGTGTACGTACGCGTGTTTGTACGGGGTGTTGCATCAGAGTTGCTCGCACACTGCTCTATGCATTCCGATTTTTGAGTTTGGTTCCTAATAATGCAATGCATTAGTGACTAGTGTTATCCAACAAGCCCTGAACCTCACCTAGGTTTACTCAGCCTTAAAATAAATACCTATTGTAGTGTGTAAAATCCGGGTGTGGTGATAACCACACCACCATTCACATGCCAGGCCAGCTTTTAAAGATGTTCACTACCAATGTGTGCCCATATTGTCTGTATAACTATATGAGGGGTCTTTGCAAGAATAATAATACATTAAAAAGACGAATTCAAGACAGCAAAGGATGCTGTTGTGACAATAACAGCCTCCCATTGTGCGTTGTGTGTCATGTGACGTCACCATCTTGCATGGATAATGCACACAGCCTTGTTTTAGACCACCAACTCAAAAAAAGTCAATTTTATTGCCATCTATTTGTGGTTTTCTAAAGAGTTTCTAATCATTTACAGCAAGTGTTAGAATTAGTCCACGGAATTAGTGTGTGTGTGTGCCTCGGTGTGTGTATGTTATTATTATTGCTGCGCTTGTTTACCCAGGAGAGCCCCACTAAATCTCGTGACGAACGCGCGAGTGCTTGCTCATGTCACCGTTCCTATGTACGTGGTTGCTCACAGCACTTCCCCCCCAACAGCATTATTAAAGGCTATATACGCGGATCTTGGTCTTTGCACTCTGCAGAGCGTCACAGGTTTCGGTCGTCAGATGATCGAGACGACCAAGAACTTGGTGGAATCGCGCTACACGACCGAAAATGGACAAAAGGCCGACGCCAAGGCAGGTCATCGCTCTTCTCCTTAGGGAGCAGCCGCACTCAAAAGACTCACGGCTTACACTCTTGCGTTCATTGGGAACTGACTCGCTCCCAGGTTGATGTTTTTTACATGCGTAGATTTCTACGTACATTTCACTGGTCAACACACTTTTTCTGGCATAAGGTATTCCAACGGTTTTAAGGTAATTCTGGGGTGCTGATTCCAAATCTGGCATCAGTTTTTGTCTATCACATCAGGTTTTTGAGATATCAAATATTGCATTTTCAATAAAAACTGCAGAAGAAAAATATTAAATAAATGTGGATATCTCCATTAAATTATATTATAAACACACTATCCTAAAAATACAGCACCACATTTTAACACTAAAGCAGTCACTGACTCGCAACAACTTGCAATCATAAGTGACAGAGTTAATTTCGGGTAAAATCAATGAAAATGGGGTATGCCGATAGCATAAAAAGGAGATGTGATAGAGCAAATCTGAGATCAGATTTGGAATCAGCACCCTGAAATTAGTCTACAACAGCTGCAAAAGTCCAGGCCAGAATATTTTTTTTTTGTTCATCAATGTTTTCAAAGAGTGAAAGTTGAATAATTAGGTCTTTATGGATGTGCATGAATTCAGTCCCTGGTCACCGGGTTAAATCATGTACCCTTTTACTCTTTTAAATAATATACATTAAATGTACACATGCATGCAGTAATTGTATCGAATAATAGGCTTTGAATCATGTTAAGGCTTCCCTAGTCCAGGTCAGTCATGAGGATTCTTTGACGATACTTCACTATGCTGATCAGTGCTGGTCGATGAATAGGGAACCCAATAATAGGAAAAGGTTCATGTCGCTCACCACTGATGTTAGCCGTGACCTAGAATCTAACTAGCATTGCTGGATTCAAAGAGCAGTGCGCTAACTGCACCCTCCCCCGCCCCCCCAAAATTGTATCGAGCAACACATGGAAGGGAAATGTTTTTAGATGAAATCCTTCATGAGGTTTGATTCGGCCTTTCATCCCTCCTGTGGTCATCAAACAGCCACTCCTTTGTGGGACAAATTGACCTTCCTGTTGAAAAACTGGACCCCACCATAGGATTATATGGAATTTTGCGCTATAGGCTTAGAGTCATGAGCGAATATATGAGCATCACCTCATGATCATTTTGGCGGTGAGGCACTGGTTTTTAATAATACGAATATCATCATCATCATCATCATCCATGATCAATCCACTGTCGGGCTGGACAAAGGCCTCTCACGATCCTGCGATGCAACAATTCTGCACCCGATCCGCTCTCATTAACGTGATACGCGACGGTACAATGCAACAGCCGTGGCCGTGCCATTGAGATTTGCGTCGTCGCGGTCACAGGTGATATACGGCGACACGGACTCGGTGATGGTGAAGTTCAGCGTGAAGACGGTGGCCGAGGGCATGGAGATGGGCCGTGAGGCAGCTGCCTGGGTCTCCAGCCACTTCATTCCACCCATCAAGCTGGAGTTCGAGAAGGTCGGTCCGCCATATCTCCCCTCGCTGTCTCCTCGTCCCACTTATTCACTCCATTTTGTAACTTGCAGCCGCCCTGTCAAAATGTGTCTTAATAGTAATAATGTCTTTATAAACTCACACGAAAGTAAACTATTTTGTTCTAGATTTGAAGCTTTCGTGACTGCAAGGATTCATATTGTTAGGTTTTTTCGGTAAAGTCACGTAGGTAAAAAATTAATAAAAGTAAAATAAAATAAAAATCACTATTTTTATTTTACTTTTATTAATTTTAATTTTTTACCTACGTGACTTTACCGAAAAAACCTAAGAATTTTAACTATTTTGATTTTACCAGGTAAGGCCCACTGAGCTATGTAGCTTATCAAATGGAAATTTACAGCAATCAAATACACTGACAGTATGTTGATTCTAAACTTAAAATATACAAGCGTCAGGGTCAGGATCGAACCCACGACCTCCTGTATACCAGGCTAGGTAGTTAACATCTCCTAGCCACCGTGGCACCCATGAAATCCTGATTAAGGCCCAGTTTTTTTTTTCAGGAGGATCCATGGCTTATTTTTAAGTATTTCATGACAGTGGAAGCAAACATTTTACTTCAGGATGCGTTCTTTTTTTATCTATTTATTTGTTTATATTGTTTCAACTTGTTCTCTCTTGTTTGCACAGTTTTGTGTTTTTATCCAATTAATAATAGTCTATTATCAGCATGTCATTTCGATATAATTTGCTTAAATCTTAAGACAATTATTCTCAGGCGCCCGCCGTAGTTTTGTGAATATTAGAAACAAATTTAATCGATGCATCATTACTTCTTCAATATGCTCAATGCATGACTATCATCCATTACCTAGCAATGCAACTCTTGACTAGTAATATCCATTACCACACTTAATTATTAAGTGTGATAATGTGTACTTCCATGAATACATAATTATTTGTATTGCTGGCTTTGCAGGTGTACTACCCGTACCTGCTGATCAACAAGAAGCGCTACGCAGGCCTCTACTTCTCCTCCAGCTCGGAGACGCACGACAAGATGGACTGCAAGGGCATCGAGACGGTGCGCAGAGACAACTCCCCGCTCGTCGCAAACCTCATCAACACCTGCTTGCAGAAGATCCTCATCGACAGGTGAGGGCTGGACCCTGCATCCCACGATGAGGCACTCTGGAGCTCCAAATTAGAATCGTAGCCAGCATCGGCCATTCCTTGGGTGCCGTTTTACCACCGTACATGGCCGTGCACACGGGAAGGGCTGCTGCGTGCATGGAGGCCGACGCGCGTGGCTTTGCTAGAGGTCTCAGAGTCAAAATCTTTATGTAGACTGAGATGTCCAGTCGGGGCGGGTCAGCAAGTTACCGTGGCCGCCGTGGCAAGGGAAAAGATAACGATGGGGTAGGAAGGCAGAGACGAGGTGGGGTATAGGGTTCGGGAGTGGAGTGTGGAAGTTGTGGGGGTCTCGTTATAATTTTTGCGTTGTTTGTCGACCCAGGAAAGTTTCACTGAGTCTCGTGGCTTTTCTATTTTAGGAGGGTCCTGCAAGGTTTTTCGCAGTAGGGGGCGATGATTTCTACGTATATTCCAGTTGAGTATTGCCGGGTAATATGTGAAATTTGGCTCATTTGAATCTTGAGTTAGGGTGAGGATACAAACGAGCGGTTTTATAAAATTAACCGGTTCAAGCAAATGGCGCCTTCGATGGGGTGGGGTTTGGAACGTGAGAGACCGTTACATTGTCGCTCCGTCCACCTGAGCCCCTGCCGCGTTGCGCCGCGTTTCAACTCTCGAACCTTACTCACGTGTGGTGGTGCCGCGTCCGGCGTTGTGACGCAGGGACCCGGACGGTGCGGTGGATCACGCCAAGGACACCATCTCGGACCTGCTGTGCAACCGCATCGACATCTCGCAGCTCGTGATCACCAAGGAGCTGACGCGCACGGCGGACGAGTACGCGGGGAAGCAGGCGCACGTGGAGCTCGCAGAGAGGTCGGTGTTGTGAGTGGGGCGGCGCGGCGTGGCGAGCTCCCCCGACAGGCGTTTGCACTTGTGAGCGTGTGTCTCGGTGAACGGTTGACCCAAGTTCAATTCCCTATCACGTCCGATTACAGTGATGGTTAAATGAACCAGTCTTTGGCCTCCCTGAAGGGTGTACATGTGTGTGTGTACGTGTACGTGTGTACGTGTGTAGACATAATGGGGAGCGGTAGTGTAACGGTTAGCGCGCTGCGCTCCAAACCCAGTGACCCGAGTTCGATTCCCGCTAAACGGCCAACAGCAGTGACTGTTATCTGAATCGGTCCTGGGCCTCCTCTAGGTCGACTCAGCCTCAAATGAGTACCTGGTTTGGTGTGTAAACATCGCCACTGGGGAGACAACGATGGCCAGGCGTGTGGTGTTGGCCACCCACCCCCTCGTGTACCGTGGCGGCCTTCATAGGTGCTCGTTAACAGCACTTGCCCCAACAAGTCTGTTCAAACTATATGGAGGATCTTTGTTCTTTGTGTGTACAAATAACACATTCCTGCGTAGGGAGCTGGTAGGAACGTTGGGTTGCTCGGTCAATGGCCAGGGTCAACGGCGGCGTGGTGTATTCCGCAAATATGGCCGACGGTGAGGGCGGGCACAAGCCGGCGTGAGTAGGTTAAACGTTGAGTTTTATAAGGGCACCACGGGGTGACCAGCCCCTCCCCACCCAGCCCCACCGCTCCCACCCCCCACCCAGCCCCACCGTCCCCACCCTCCCCTCCCCATCCAGCCTCTCCCCACCCTCCCCACCCAGCCCCTCCCCACCCTCCCCTCTCCACCCAGCCCCACCCCTCCCATTTTTGGATGCAGGACGGACGGACACAATAATCCCCTGTGGGCTGGTGTAACCAGGAGGTTCCTACCAGTATAACTTTGACACTTATGTGTAACTTATGTGTAAAATTATATCTCTGTCCTGCGTATTTTTTTGTATCCATGTGTCTCAATGTAATCCCCAGAATGCGTCTTTCCATGCTTCTTTGCACACTTTTCAGTTTATTATTCTGTTCGTTCCATGTCTTCAACACATCATGTGACTTCAAAGTGCACCTAGCTTGGAACAAGTGTTATCTTGATGTCGCTACCGCTTCGAGACAAATGGCGGTTGTGCTGTCACCTTATTCTAATTTGCCCCGAATTGATTGGAGTGCACCTGGCCCGGCACGGGTGTCGTGGCGTGTGTAAAAGTTTTAGTTTTCTACATGTCAAATTATTGTAAGGCGTCTTGGCATGATGTTGGTTTTATATGCTATGAAATTTTTATGTTGGTGTACTGCTGTTTTTGGTTTGACAAATAAGCTTAATAATGCTTGTGATGACATGGCAAACAGGTCAAATATTGGGACTATTATTCTGAAAAAAATACACAGCAGATACATGCATGTGTATGAATATGTGTGTGCGTTTAGAGGCTGTGTATCAACGTTTGCAGACTAAATCAGAAATGCAATGTATTGCATTGCATTGAATGGAAAAGAGCTCTCATTCAGGAAGTCGAATGTTGTTCGTGCGTTTAATGTTTTGATTGTGAACGCATCCGTCGTGCAGAATGAGGAAACGCGATCCCGGCAGTGCCCCCAACCTGGGAGACCGCGTTCCTTATGTTATTGTCAAGGCGACTAAAGGGGTCGCGGCGTACATGAAGTCAGAGGTGAGATCAGAATCAGAATATTTTTGTATACCGGATGAATCCGATGAGCTATCAAGCTTTTTTTCACACATTACAACAACAGACAGTACAACATCCCTACCACGGAGGGGTATCCTTGAAAAGCTCTAACCCGTATAAGGTAATACGAATTTAATGATTGTAATAATAATTTCGATATAAAAGGTGCCTTTATACAATGGATCTCCGAGCACCAAGATAACCCCATACGGCCTTAGGATAGAGTGGTGGCTCAGTGGTTGACACGCTCCGCTGTCAACCAGACGACCTGAGTTTCATTCCCACCCATGGCTGATATTATTGGCGAGTGGTAACTGGCACCACCCCATCCCTCCCGTCCACCAATCCGCACCGAACAGCATGGCGAAGATCCACACGGCACGGAGAGGCCTTCGTTCAGCAGTTGGTTGACAAAAGGCTGTAAATGTGTAGTGAGCATGATCATTTCTGTCATTGATGAATCATTGAATATTTTATCGCTAATAAACAATCCAGTATTTATATCTGTATTTCACAAGGTGAAAGCCTATGAGGATACCTAGTTCGATGTGTTGGATAAAATGTATCACTATTTAAAAAAACTGCATTGATTCACACAGTTTGTAGCAACACGTCACTGGCAATTGAGACAATTCTGGTCTGTTTGAGTTCTTACCTGGCTACACAAATGAACTTGATTTGACTTGACTTATCACAGCCATCTCAACAACCTCCACAAATGATAAATACTGGACCTTGCCCACCCGGTGTGCCGGTTTGAGTGGCCATGCCGGTTTGAGCGGTTTGTGTGATTTGTAAAGGAGACCGCTTCACCCCCACACTCCACTCGCTCCAAATTCAGTCCTGGATCAATTCCAAGATAGCACTCGCTATCTTCAAGATCCTCCTCCACAGACTTGTCCCTTCTGTCAAAGCCCAAGTCTACATTTTCTCACTGATGTCACTCATTCTCTGCGCCTGTTTAAATCCAGGCTCCGCAACCTTTATTTTTATTTTCCCCTGCCCACGACTTACTGCATTGCTACAAAAGTAATACTGGCCCACTATTTTCTCCACAGCATCTTTGGACACAGTCGCATTTAGATGCTATATGAACCCGCATTGCGTTGCAAGGTTATTGTGTGTGTGTGTGTGTGATCCTCGCCAGGACCCGATCTACGTGCTGGAGAACAACATCCCCATCGACACGCAGTACTACCTGGAGCAGCAGCTCGCCAAGCCCCTGCTGCGAATATTCGAGCCCATCCTCGGGGAGAACAAGGCGGAGAGCATCCTGCTGAGTAAGGTCCCCTCCGACCGAGCACACACACGCGGGGAGGGAGACCCACGAACGTCAGGGCGGTAACCACGTGTTGGTTCTAGTTTTGTGTACGTCCATATTTTGTCAGAACTCCTCAAATCGCCCTGTGGTCTGTGATCGAGGCACCCGCAATGCGCCCTGACCTCGTCAGAGCTTGTCAAATCTCATCATATCTCAGAAGCCAAGCCGAGTCAGTTTTTGGAAGTCAAGCGGTGTTGGAGCCTGGAAAGTGCTTGGATGGGCGACCATCATGCATACAACTAGTTGTTATAAGCTGCTGTGGGGCTACATTGTGCTCAGCAGAGGGCAGTGTAGCAACAACCATTGATGGAATGTGCTATGCCGTAATATATTCTCAGATCTGTATTCCCCGTCGTGAAGTGTGGTCATATAACCCCCACGACCCGCACAATTTGAGGAGGTATTCTTTGGGTCTTTCGGTAAAGTCACGTAGATAGGTTAATAAAAAATTACAAAAAACTACGACGTTTTGATCGCAACACAAGTGGTCATCAGGAAAAGGGGGTTAGCCTCTATAGGCAAACTGTTTATAAAGGTTTGAAATGGGCGTAGCCCAAGTGTCACCAGCATGGGCGGGACAGCTAATGTTAATGTAAGTGGTGGTACTCGTAGAGGGCAACGACGGCGCTGATGGTGGGCTTCCACCAATAAAGGGCTACTGCTAGTGGTGATGTTAGTAGTGGGTAGTGATGGTCCCGGTGGTGGGCTTCCACCAATTGAAGGGCTGCCAGGTCTAAAATCGAAACATTACAGCCAGTTATGACTTAAACTGGTTGATAACGTCCTTCCAGTGTGTTTGTACCCATCTTCTCGGTTGAAATTGTGTCTATGTCTGTATATATGGATGTCTTCATGAACGAATCTTTGTTGATAGCTAGTGGGTTTGCAAAGTACCTTCGTCTTAGGGAAATTTATTTCGTGTGAGCCCACCGCATTAAAACAATGATCAGCCACGGCCGAGGTATTGGTCCTACTGTGTGTCAGATCTGCCTTGTGTTGAGGATGCCTTCATCCTGGAGTGAAATGACAAAAGGGCTGTACATTGGACATTTTCAGGATTTAAGTGAAGTGCCCGGAGTAAACCCTTCAATACGAGGAGACAACAACAACAGCCGCTATTCGCCACTAAGTGGTGGTGACGTCACCACGGTGGTTGTGCCAGGCTATGTGCACTAAAATTTAAGGCCACGTGAAGTGTCGAACGTCCGCTGGCAGGAGGTCATGGGACAGACCCAGGTGCCATGGATTGACTGATTGAGATGACGTGAAGTGTCGAACGTCCGCTGGCAGGAGGTCACAGGACAGACCCAGGTGCCATGGATTGACTGATTGAGATGACTGGCCGGTGCACCACCTGTTCCCCCTACTGTGCCAACTTGTGTGTTAGCTGCCTTGCACTCCGCTAGCTGTTTTGAGCGTCACTCCTCTGTCCTCCGTTGTTGTTGGAGGGCGACTGCCTTCAACTGCCCAGTAACATCCTGCATGAGTCTGTAGTTTCAGTCTGTGTGGTCCCCCTTCATAAAGAGAGGGACTACCAGGGCATCCTTCCAATGCTGCGGAACCCGTCCAGTGATCCAGACTGTTATAATGATTTCGATTTAAAGCTTTCGTGACTGCAGGGATTCATCTTCTTGGTTCTTTCGGTAAAGTCACGTAGAAGGGAAATAATAAAAAAATTTAATATAATAAAATACAATTCTCACGACGTTTCGGCCACAACGCAAGCAGCCGTCCTCAGGTGAAGAACAGGTCTGTCGGAAAGACAGCATCTGAATGAACACCACCAAGCTTGGCAGCGTATATTCACCTGAGGACGGCTGCTTACGTTGTGGCCGAAACGTCGTGAGAATTGTATTTTATTATGTTTTTTCTACGTGACTTCACCGAAAGAACCGAGAAGATGTTATAATGATGTCATATAGAGTAGTCTCAACACAAACGTCACCCTCCCTCAGCAGTTAATTTGTGATATTGTCTCTACCTGGCGCATTTCCTGATCTCAGACTCTGGATTGCCTTCTATACTTCCTCAACAGATGGCACTTCAGCCAGCCGCTCACAGGGGGTGACTAATTCTAGATTTGAAGCTTTCGTGACTGCAAGGATTCATATTCTTAGGTTTTTTCGGTAAAGTCACGTAGGTAAAACATCAAAATTAATTAAAATAAAATAAAGATCACGACGTTTCGGAGGCAACACAAGTCTCCGTCATCAGGTGGGACCGTCACAGCCAGATTAGCTGCATCAAGTGAGGCAATGATTCAAGATGTAATCCCTTAAAAGCGAGTTGAGGGGGGAGGAGAGGGGGGGGGGAGCTCATCAGAATGTGGTAGCCAATGAATGGAACGTATCGGGAATAGGGGGTGACTACTTCCAATAGAGTCATCCCCACTTTACCCCATGATGTTTTCTGGGCTGATGGGTTTTCCTTTACAGAAATGCTCAGCAAACCTACAAACCTGTTCCTCAAAGGATAGTGAGCGTTGGAACATTCCACGTGGCCACTCGCAGTGGCGTTTTGCTGTTTCTGGAAGAACCCCGAGTGTGCGGGATCGATCTCCTAGCTCTGCCAAATGGGGTTTGGCCAGGAGAGATCATAGGGGTTACAAGCGCCTCACATCCATCCAGAGCCCCCCGTTGGCCGCTGTGGTGGCTACCAGTGCCATGAGGGGAACAGCCGATTGAATCGGCTTTCTCTCCATGGCATTGTTCACATCCACCACAGAGTTACCGTCCGGCACCAGCGAGGAGGTCGGGGTTTGTTTTTACCGGACTAACACTCAGGTTTCCATAGACACGTTCATGAATCATGTTGCTGTGCTGCCATCTCCTGGCCACCTTACAACCTAGCAGCTAGCTTTGGGAGTTTCACTAATCCACATGCAAAGCATTGGATCGCAGACGTGCTCCACCGTGCCTGCATATGTCTACACATACATAAAAACGAAATGAAAACGTTTGCATGCGCGTGACGATTCTTCGCCCGCTTGTGCCCCCCGCTCTCAGAGGGCGAGCACACGCGCTGCAAGACGGTGCTCACGTCCAAGGTGGGAGGCCTCATGGCGTTCGCCAAGAAACGCTCCACCTGCATCGGCTGCAAGGCTGTGCTGAAGAACGACGGTATGAAGCCGACCGTTATCGACGGGCGCGTACGCGCGCACATGGTTCGCGGCGCATGCACACTGACGACAAGACGAGAGGGACTGACTGAGTTAGATTGTGGAGTCCTTGATTTTGGGAATCGGTCATCCCTTCAGAAAATTAATCTAGCAAAAAATTGATGGTCGATTAACAATCCAAATATAGTTGCAATACAGTGTGGATCTATATCTCAAGACGCTGGGCAGACACAGCACGCATAATTGAAGAGGAGGATTAATGCGCTGATTAGGCATGTAACTGCACGTATACACATGGATTATGAAAAAAAATTTATGGTAATATGTTAATGTAACATTTGTGCTCATTTCTTGAACAAAAATATCCAAGCAAGATGGAAACATTCGAAACAATATAAATGAGAAGGCAGACACCAGGCAACTATGAATCGATTCTTGAATTGTGACCCTGATTGTGACAAATCATCGAATCTCCGTTGGGTGCCGGGGGAGATGAATGATCGTGACCTTAATAACTGCATTTTGATGGTAATTTATTACCAGCCTGAGGACTTTGGCAGTTAGCTTGTACTACCGAGTGGTAAATATGGTTATTGATTTTGGGAAGACTAGTTGGTTTGGGAATAGATGAGGTTTACCTGTACAGGCGGTCCCTGCTTTTACGATGTTACAATGCGTTACTGGAAACCCTGTGGATCATAAATTGGAATCGTCGTAAATCGGACCCTATTATCCCAGAAGAAACAGTCGAAGCATCAGCCATATTTAATAGGTAAAAATCCACAAGAACACTTTTGAATAACAAAATCTCCCTGCCCAATCACATCAGAAATCAGACTGACTGTTCCAATGCATTCGGAGTCATGTAGGAAGATACGTCGTCTTTTTTTACTTATTTAAAAAAAGTTTTGAAGTGTCTGTTTGTTGACCAGAAATATAATCTTGTGGTTTAAAATCGATAGATTGTATTTTCTCTTGTAAATACCATAATGAGTTCACAGCACGTGCACATGAGATCCGTCTTGTTAATTGAGTGTTTGCAATCATGGTGATGATGATGATCGTTATGCGGAGTCTATAAACGAGAACCACTTTGTAATACACTCATTCGATTTTCAAACAAAACACAAATGTGTAAAAGCACTCGGCCTGTACACAAAACCACCAGCAGTTCCATTGTTGTATCTCTTGTCTGAGGTCACCATCAAAATAAATCTTAGTAAATGTTACCGACTAACAGGGAGCAGTGATAGAGAGATAGACAACTGTAGACCAGGTTCAGTATTATTAGGATTCATCAGTGCAGCATAGTCACCATTGCTTCCGTTGGAGTAGGCACAATGACGTTTTGTTTCTTTGTACCTGCAGGGGCTGTGTGCGACTACTGCAAGAAACAGGAATCGGAACTCTACCAGAAGGAGGTGAAGTTAGCACGCGGCGTTGAACAACGCTCGCGCTTGCACGACAATGCCGCTGCTGGTCTCCCAACGGTCTAATCCACCGTGTCTCTCTTGCCCCTCCATTTTAAACCAAGGGTTGCGCCAGAGCGTGCATCTTCTATGAAGGAGGCACTGGAAGGGGGCTTAAGCCTGATCCTTATGTACAACCAGCGTCGAATAAACTGTCCACACGGGCTTAAGACCCCAGGGTCTATCTTTGAACCAGAAACGGGAAAATCCTGCAAGAGACCATGGACTCACCGACTCCTCCTGCTAGCACCGTTTTCCAATCCCTCCCTTCGCAGGGTCAAATCAGCACTTCATGTTCAGGAGGGCGACTTGCTTTGTGGTGGTATTTAGGCAGATCCGGGAGAGCCAATCCTCCTTTCACAGAGAGAGTAAAGGAGTGATAGCCTATCCGTGCGAGTTTATAATTCCAGATAAAGGATGAGAAATTAGATTGAAGTACTTTTGGAACCCAGAAGGGAATCATTCTTAAAGTGATGTAGCAGTTTGGGGGAGGACCATCATCGTGATCAGATGTGCTCTGTTCTTTGTTGTGGAGGGATAGGGGGACTGACATCTGACCTTGCCACGAGTAAAATTATAATTTCCTGGAGCAGGAGGGGAAAGTTCTTCCATAGAAGCATTGTTAGGGAAGAAGGGACCTTCACACTCAGGTATTTTATATGGGTTAGGCACCACTTAAAGGGTAACAATCCCTCCTGAAGGTTTAGGGGATACGTGGGATAGGGGCATCTACATGCTGGGAATTCTTGAACAAGTTGATGTACAAACAGTCGTTTTTTTCTATCATTATTTGTGCTTGTACACCCACTACCAATGCAACCTCCAATATCTTCTTTAATCATTATCCTCACTTTAGTGAAATATTGAAAAGATAATTACGCAATATACTCTACACTACTGTGATCTGTTGCTGTTTTTTCTTCATTATGTATTTCTTTGTATTTAAATGTTTGTTGCCACCTGTTTTGTTTGCCAGGGAACCGATGCTTTTGTTGATGAAACCCGATTCAAGAGCTTCTTACCTCAAAGGGTACTCCAAAACAAACTGAAATCCTCTATGATTGTATTTCCACCTTCCTGTATTTGTTTGGTTTAGGTTTTACACTTGAATGCCATGGAGGAGAAGTTTTCTCGGTTGTGGACGCAGTGCCAGCGGTGTCAGGGCAGCCTCCATGAGGATGTTCTATGTACAAGGTATCGAATCACACTCACACCACCCAATCAGCACGCACACACACCAAGATCCCCTGTGCAGCCTTATTTAGACCACTCGGGTAATGTGCTGTTCGTTAATCAATATAGGATAGGCCCAGGACCAGTCCAGGTATCACCTGCCATTAATATTTGATTTGGCTGGGCGTTAAACTTGGCACACTAGCTTCATGGCGCACTTGCACAATGCACTGCACTGCCACTCCCCCGAAAAAAAATAAAAAAAACAGAGCCCCCCCCCCGTATATTGCCTTGTAGATTAGGGTTTCATATATCACTCATCACTGCTGTTTGCTATTGCTGCGAATTTAACTCGGGTGGCTTGAGCATTATGCACAGTCCACTGCACTACCACTCCCCACAACAAACACAAAGAACCCCGTGTATAGATTTTTATGCTGTTGGCGCAAGTGCTGTTGTCAAGCTCCTGTTAAGGCTGTCACGGCACACAAGCGGGTGGTCTGACCATCACCCTGGTTGCCTTTGTCTCCCTAGTAATGGTGTTTGCACAATGCACCAGGTACTCGTTTTAAGGCCGAGAACCTATTCTGATATCACCCACCACCGATGTTTGCCATGTCTGGGGATTGAACTCGGGCTGCTAGGTTCATAGTGCATTGTACTGTCCAATGGGAAACCACTCCCATAACACACACACAAGACCCACACGCCCTACACACACATTGTGCACAAGCATCTGGCGTGAAGTCGGGCCTACGTGGGTTTCCCACTCAAAACAATTGTGAGGAGGTGCTCAGCTTCTATTACAGCTCTCTGAGCCATTGTTGGAAAACTCCACCGTATTATAACAGGGTCAAGTACATGCACAGGACAGCCGCCTGGTTGACTTCCCATAAAGTAGTGACGACTGTTGTCAACCCCAATGGGAAAAGGTTGCCAAGTCGATCCCCGGCCAGAATTTCAACTCGTGACTGTCCAGTAGCGAAGCATGCACTTTAACCACAGTGATGGCCAGTGAAACTAAACCTCGCCATTAAGCTCCGTCTCTATGCTAATTATAGAATATGTGCATTAGAAATCCATTGCCGACACGCTCAAACACATTGGGTGGTGCTCATCGCCTCTCTGTTTGTAGTTGTGAGTCAGTGTTGTAAATTCCACAGTTGTCTGTTGGGGGTCAGTCTGTCCCTTGCCAAACATTTCCTCAGTGAAAGTTGACACACACCTCGACATAATGGGCTCACCGTGTGAAGAATAATTTCATAAGTGTCAGCACTTTTAACTATCTCATGAGCAAAATAATTGTAATCGCTCCTCGTACTACAAATGACTGCCGCAAAAAATACTTGGCATAGAACAATGTGTCGATAGATTTAGCAACACGCAAAGGCATTTATTGTGTTGTTAATCCTATTTTATTTCAGGCCAGTGTTCATTTTTATGTTGTAATGGATTTTATCGTCATTTAGCAAGTTTGAATCGATGTATCGATACGTAGATTAAAATCGGTTATTGACTCACGCAACATGCGTCTAATCGTGTCTTGCATAAGAATCGATGATGTATCACTTAAGCAACTTATGTACTGAATAAAACTACAAGCTAAGGCAAAAAATGTTTCATTCTTGCCAGAAGGGGTAAAGCCTATTCTTTTTAAAATCCGCCTAATGCCTTGTTTAAATTGCGCATATGACATAACAGTAGTGTTGTAAACACAATACAATGTGTATTTATATTGCGTCTTCATATAACCCAAACAGCGAACATTTTGTAGAGATCTGCGGTGGACTTAGAGTTTATTTTGTTTTACCAGGTAACAACTCAAGTTTACCAGGGTAGCCTAATTCGCAAGAGTGATCTGAGTTGCCGAAATAACAAAGGCAAAACAAAAAATCGGACCAAAAAACAACCCCAATCACTTGAGGAATGGAAAACATTGCAGACATAATTCCCTGCAGTGCAAATCGGCTCTCCTGCAGAAAAAAAGAATGGATAGACCTTGAGCCTGGACTTGGAACAAGGGGCAGGGATTCATATTCTTGGTTCTTTCGGTAAAGTCATGTAGAAGGGAAATAATAATATAAATATAAAACAATTAAATTCTCACGACGTTTAGACTGCAACACAAGCAATCATCATCAGGTGTGAAATCCACTGAAAGAAAATGTTTTTGTTATATATTTTTATTATTTTATTATTTCCCTTCTACGTGACTTTACCGAAAGAACCAAGAATATGAATCCCTGCAGTCACGAAAGCTTTAAATCAAAATTTAAAGGGGCAGGGAATCGACCGCATGGACGACTGGGGGGGAAGGGAGTTCCGCCCAATGGGAGCAGCAGAGGAGAATGAGCGACCTCCTCCTACTGAACGATCGCGACAGAGCGATGGCGATGCTCTAGCCCAGTGGTTCTCAATCGGGGGTACGGTGACCCCTGGCGGTACGTGGCAGTGTTTCAGGGGGCACGTGAGGTGATTATAAATGTGTGAAATTGTATCGTACATCACGGTCATTGGTGAATAATAATAATCACGTACGAATCTGACAATATAAAATAACTACGACAGTTTAAGTCCATATGGTAACCTATAACGATGTAAAAGACATTCCTAAACTCGTTGATCTTCGCGCATGCGGAGCGTCCGTTGAATTTGTTTATTTTATTATTTCCCTTCTACGTGACTTTACCGAAAGAACCAAGAAGATGAATCCCTGCAGTCACGAAAGCTTTAAATCGAAATTGCAATTACTAGCTCGTTAGGATACCTCACAAAATGGACAATGGGTTACAATATCGATGTTTCGATTTAAAGCTTTCGTGACTGCAGGGATTCATCTTCTTGGTTCTTTCGGTAAAGTCACGTAGAATGGAAATAATAAAATAATGAAAATAAAACATAATAAAATAAAATAATAAAATAAGATTCTATATTATTTTTTATTATGTTTTATTTTGTTTATTTTTTTATTTCCATTCTACGTGACTTTACCGAAAGAACCAAGAAGAATATCGATGTTCATTGTTAAATACATTCATTTCTCAGAACCATGTTGGGTCAGGCAAGGCAGGGAGGTGGGGGGGGCGGGGGTTACTACTCTGTTGAAACAAAATTCAACAAGGGGGTTAGGTAGGTACAGGAGCCACAACAAACAAACAAATAGGTTGAGAACCACTGCTGTGTCTGGCGTGAGTGTGGGAAAACTCGGCACATCTTCATGACACGCGAGGGGTGCTGACGGTTTCTTTTACCTTTAGCAGCATCACAAAAGTCCTTTTGCGCAATTGTTTGTGTGAAAATACGTCCCGCCCGTTAGTTAAACACACCGCCATTATAGAACGGGGACATTTTGAACACCCGCTGGTGGGTCTTTGGTGGGACGTATTGACTTTTCACAAACGGGCGCACATTGTGTTAAAGGGTAACAGACACCTGTACACTCTCCAGATACGCAAGCTTGCACCAATGACGCCATTTACAAGCTGCCCGTAATTGTTTTTTCATTTAACCAATAATAAAATAAGTATAAACAGTAACGTGGATGTAATAATTCACTCTGTCCATAAAAGCCTTAGTTGGGCCGCAACACTTCCTAAGGTGTGTCGTGCTAGGAATGTATTTCATCAATGTTTAGTTTACTTATTTGCTGTGGGAGGAAACAAGGCTGGCTGTAAAAGATCGTGGCCGGAACGATGGATCGATGCATCTATTCTTAGCCAAATCGGCACGCACATCCAATTCGTTGCCCAAGAAGCAATGTTATAATGATGCAAGCTATACACATTTAATGCAGGGATGCAGGTAAATGTAGTAGATAAAAAAAACGAGGAACCAAAAGCGGAGGAGACATTAAGTGAAGCCGAACGCAAGTTCAATAAAAAAACACAACAGTAAAAACGAGAGTGTACGAAAGAGAAGTGCAAAGTACAAAAGGCACGACACAGTGCACAGGAGACAGAATCCACTCCCATTGATTATCATGGGGAACAATTATTCACTTCCCGAATTGAATTGACACCCATGATCGATGCATTGAATTCCCAGGGAGTCAGTAAGTTGTGGCTCTTCAGACAATCCCATACACCTGCCCCAATCGGCGTAAATCCTCCGATCTCACCTCCCAAGTCGCTGAATTGCAGTCGTGTGGACACTCCATAGCAGTGAGCACTTAAATAACACAGTGACCTCACCCACCTCACGACATTTATATCGACTGCAGCTCAACATTAGCACATGCCGAATTGCATTGTTGAGTCAACTTAACTTTACTGTACTCCATCCCCTCCCCCCCCCTCCTCCCTGTACTCACAGCCGAGACTGCCCTATCTTCTACATGCGCAAGAAAGTTCAGAAGGACCTGGACGACCAGCACAAAGTGGTGACCAGGTTTGGGGAATGCACGTGGTGAGACTTCACGAAGTCTTCAAAACCCCTCGGCGCGTCGTTCTCCAGAAAACCGCTGCCGGGACAATTGTTGCTTTTCTTCAATAACGAATGATATCGGGACTTGTGAAGAGGCAAGTGAATGTTACCCGTTTGAGGACAGAGACAGAGACAGAGCCACGCCTGTTGTGTGTTGTACGCACGACCCGTTCGGCATTATAGGTTATTCAATTCATCAAAATACACCGAATACGTTTTTTTCCCCTACATTTCCACGGTCTCTTCTGAGATGTCTGTGGCCAGCATGAGTAGGATGTGGGCAAACACTACTCCCTCGAGTTGGGCTTCTCGCTAAGATCTCTCTCTCTCTCTGGAGCTCTCCTTAGTTGCAGTCTCTTCTGCCACCAGTGGCATAAGGACGCAAATGCTGTAGGGCTCACCTTTACCCTCTCGGGTCTTTTTTACTACCTTATATCATGGGCCATGAAACGGACAAGACACTATTGTGTCACCACACTGAATGGGCACCTTACCAGTAGAAAGCTACCATTGAAAGCTCATAGTGTTTTAGATGACATATTGCCCTCAACTGGAGGCTGTACTATACTTGTGTGTGTGTGTGGGTTTGTATTTTTTACACTTTAGAGCAGCGTTTTTTGTAAAATTTAAAAGTGCCAGTGTGAACTTAAAGCAAAGTGTTCCCCTCCTGTGTGTGTGTGCATTTGTGATGCTTAAGGAACACGCGTGAGCATTTGCATGTGCTCTTTTTACACCGGTTCTTTTGCGCATTTGAGGTTTTTGTTGAATAAAGATGCCATTTGTATATTTGTTTCATTATCGTTGGCTTGCAATCGATCCTTTGCGGTTTTTCTGGAGATGTGTAAGAGTCGTTAAGAGTTCCAGTTTCCTAGCCCACATTGTTGCACTCATAGACTATCACGCTCCGATTCGCATATTTGGCACTTTTTACTGGCCGCTCTGTGAACGTGGAATCAGATTTTTACCTAATGTTTGCTGATGTAAACTCGGTTTTCCACCATGAATTTGCTCTAAACCCATTTGAAAACTACACTTTAGCATTATAAACTGTTCAAGGGAAACAGAGCCCTCTAATGGCGATGATGCTGTCTTCGTGGAAGACCACACTGGGCTTGCAGTCGGTAGCTTGGCACGGCAGTTGAAACAATGGAACCTCCTCCTCTGTCCATCCACAAGTTAATTACGTACACCGCAGTCTTATCAGTAAGTCACGTGTGGCAGGGTAAAGTGTGGGTACTCTCACCTCTTACAATGTGTCTGACCAGCATGGGAGAAGTAGGCCAAAATAATGTCTAGAGGGATTCGAGTTGCCCTCTCGTTGATCATTCCACCAGCAGTGGCCTGAGCAAGCTATTGCAGGGCTGCACCTTGACCTTGTGTATATATATATTTTTTATTTGCATTAACATTTTTCAAATATTAAGCGTCAGCATGACATAATTAGATTTGAACCGACGTTTATTCAACTTTTCAGCTCACACGCTCCCAGTTATATATTATCACTCAACCGGATTCTCTAGTTCGGGTTAGTTTATGGTTCCAGCCCAGTCACCAATGACTGTCAACATAAAAAAAAAATCTAAATTCAGGGTATATGCCAGCTTGGAGGGCTCATGGATATATCCACAACAGAGATAAGTGAGAACGTCAAGTTCCCCTTTAGTGTATAAGAGAAAACTCGCGGCACCTCCGATGTAGTTCTTTGATGTCGACTTCCACAGGCCGTCCTGTTACCACAGAACGGGGCCCCCAAATAAAGTTGCCACCTGTCCGACTTAGACCCAGCCATTCCGGGGATTGACGTTTGTCTTCGGGTGGCAGGGATTGACGTTTGTACCGAGATCTGCTACCTGTGTTGTGTTTGAATTATATTTCAGTAAACCTGCACAGTTGTGATAGACCTAGTGTGGACTGAGAAGTTTATCCGGGTATGGTTCTGTGCAAAAAGTTGGCACCTTGAATCCAGAACTGAAAATGTCCAAAGAGTGACATGACAACGAAACGTGAATTTAAATACTATTTTAAAAAATAATAAGCCCCAGACGTGACCAATTTGTGTTTTCCCTGCAATATATCATTGCCCCAATGGACGAGTACCTGCTACGATTTTATCCTGATTATACGACCCAACTGTTTCCCTTTATTACGAAGCAGAAAATTGGGGGTGCTTCCTATAAACCGGTAGGTGTATGTATGCGAGACAATATTACAAAGACAACATTGAATTGACAACGGTACGTCTTACTTTCCGGAGCGTTTTAGAATTCGGAGAAATTGTGATGACACGGGGCAGCTGGTGATGCCTCAGCAATCCCGGTTTTTCTCCGCTAGGGGGCAAAGTTCAACCGTGAATGTCACGTGGCATGCAACCTCACTAACACCGTGACGTTGAAAGGAAACATATGCTACGTTTTCTGGCAATGATTCTTCATAGCACGTAACACATTCCTGCGGAGGGAGCTGGTAGGAACGTTGGGTTGCTCGGTCAATGGCCAGGGTCAACGGCGGCGTGGTGTATGTGAGGGCGGGCACAAGCCGGCGTGAGTAGGTTAAACGTTGAGTTTTATAAGGGCACCACGGGGTGACCAACCCTCCCCACCCATCCCACCCCCACCCAGCCTCTCCCCACCTCCCCTCCCCACCCAGCCCCTCCCCACCCAGCCCCTCCCTGCACGACGGACGGACGGACACAATAATCCCCTGTGGGCTGGTGTAACCAGGAGGTTCCTACCAGTAATATAGTAAACATGTTTCATAACAGTAAGTAGCCAATCCACTTCAAAGCATCCAGTTCACTGACTTCACTCAATATATTTGGATGCAGCAATAGTCCATATTCCGCGGGATTCTCACTCGGTTTTCAATTGGACGTTCGCGAACACCGCATACACAAATTAAACGATACTATGAGACCACCTTTACCAGTGGCAAAATATAGTAATAGGTTTTTACCCTTTCAACTGGTACAAAAACTGACACCTTTATACAAGGCATCATTTTTGTACCAGTTGAAAGGGTAAAAACCTATTACTATATTTTGCCACTGGTAAAGGAGGTCTCATAGTATAAATGCTTAACCCGAGCTCTTAATACTCTGATAGTACATTGTCTTTTAGTTGTAAGCCTTTTGGCGTCATCTGGTCCAACACCAATGGAGACTAGGCTCTAAGAAAAGCTGTCTCGGGTTTGGACCAATCAACTTCAAGGACAGTGCATATCATTATCATCATTAGAGTTGTTTCTTTTTGTTTGCATTTTGACTGCTTGTGTTGTGGTTATTGCAAACATGATGCCTTGCATAAAGGTGTCAGTTTTTGTACCAGTTGAAAGGGCAAAAACCTGTTACTACAAATTAAACTTCAAAAAATTCTTAACGAACGCCGGCAAGTAACGTCGGGAAGCGTGGCGATGTGAATGCACGGAATTTCCGTGAGACACAGGTGCGCTTTGGACCAGAGGCCATGTGCAGGTCACTGAAGTAACTGCGCCTGGGTAGGGGACACGGCTTCGATGAAATTCGTTATATATATTTTTTTCAGTGCCCATCTACCACGTGGGTAGGCGAATTATTTGGTGATGAAATGGAATACGTATCCGGCCCCTGTGGTTATAAGAGTGCAGTCTCCAACTCGTGTCCACCCGTCCTATCTGGCCTCTTGTATTGATGTATGCCGACGAAGGGCCATTGCCCGAAACGTTGCGTATTACCGCATATATTGACTTTATTTAAGGTCACATGCTGATGTCTATGCCCAGAACCGGCCCTAGACCTTTGGGGGCCCTAAGCAAAATTTGGTTGGAGGCCCCTTTGATGTATGATTTTTTTCACCCACTAGCTAGCAGTGACTCTAGGGGGCCCTCTGTTGGCCACGGGGCCCTTTGCAATTGCAAGGGTCGCTTCGTGGCTGGGCCGGCTCTGTCTATGCCCTTCGACGTACTTTGCCAGCATACCCCGCTCGATATGATGATGGTGATGATGATGGCCGATAGCCAACTTCACGGTCGAAGGTGGCAGCGGAATGGAGTGGGCTACGTCCTACGCGGAGACGGAGCGACGAAACGAGCGGGGCGCGCAGTATCTAGGATCCAGAGTGGTTTTGCTGCGTCACGAGACCGCGGGAGAGGATGGGATGCACAGGGAAGCCACTGCGGAAAGTTCGGCCTAAACATATCGCGACCATTAGAGACGCCCTCCTCATCCCATTGTTTTCCATTGCTCGCGCCTGAGCATTTAAATGGCATTACTGGCATGGCTGTGATGGGGGGGGTGGTGGTCGGGCGGTGGAGGGGGGGTGATGGTCCTGGGCAACTGGGCCCCCTCTTTGTGCCATGACGACCCCAATGCGCTCGAAACTTTCCATTGAGCCACGGCGCACTCGGCCCGCAATTCCGCAGTCGTCGTGGCGCGCTATTTGCTCTGCTCCGTCTGTCCCGCGTGTACGTGCATGTGCGTGTGCGTGCATGTATGCGCGTGCGTGTACGTGCATGTGCGTGTGTGCGTACGTGCGTGTGTGTGTACGTGCGTGTGCGTGCGTGTACGTGCATGTGCGTGTGTGCGTGCGTGTACGTGCGTGTGTGCGTATGTGCGTGCGTGTACGTGCGTGTATGTGCATACGTGTACGTGCGTGTGTACGTGCGTGTGCGTGCTTACGTGCATGTGCGTGTGTGTGCATACGTGCGTGCGTGTACGTGCGTGCGTACAGATAAAGATGATCCTGGAGTGCAATGAATTATCCAAGAAGCTCACTAGTAAGGAGAGAGCGGCTTGGGACAGCTTTGTCGCAGTGGTTCGTGGCTTCCTGGGCAATCACAAGGTTGAAAACTATGTGGAGCTGGTTGAGACTCTGGTGAAGAACTACAGCACAATGGGGCTGTAGGATGTCCCTCAAAGTCCATATCCTTGATGCTCATCATGATAAATTCAAGGGGAACATGGGAGCGTACTCGGAGGAGCAAGGCGAGCGCTTCCACCAGGATATCCTGGACTTTGAACGCCGCTACCAAGGACAGTATAACGAAAACATAATGGGAGACTACATTTGGGGGCTGATTCGTGAAAGTGATTACCAGTATAATCGTAAATCTCGAAAAACTACTCACTTCTGAATATTTTGTAGTATTTTTTGTATTACTTTAGTATAAAAACATGCCAATTTTGATTCATGTGTTTTTTTTCTGACTTCATGTGAACGAAAGGACACAAATTCGCCCGATTTCTCATTCAAAATGGATAAATTTCAAAATATCACTGTCCTGTTCACAAAAGCAAAGTTTGTGGGGAATAATAGCCATTTTCTGTTATTTTGAGGCATAAGCAACTAGGAAATAACACAAAATAGAAAAATGTGTTACACAGTGTGTAACACATTTTTTGGTGTGCGAGGTGGCCAGGAGAAGGCAGCACAGTGACGGATTATTAAATCCATCTGTGGAGAACTTCTCACGGTCCTGCGACGGAACGATCCATCCACCACCTGTGTTTAGTTTGTTGTCCTTCCCCCGCGTACCTCCGATGTAGCACGGTTGGCTACGTACGGTGCGAAAGAAGTTCAACGTACGCACGTGAACCTCTTGCACGCGAGCCCCTGCAATCTCACCGTCTTCGCGGCGAATTTTTTCCGACTTTGGCTGCCACTCCGCCGCTAGTCTCGACCACCGGTCATCGTCGCCTCTCGAGACGATTGGTCCTCTACCCAAACCCACTTCGGGCCAATGCCAACCACGCAGAGTTAAGCGGCCTCGCTCGCCAAGGCTAAGATAACTTACCGCGTACCGATTTCTAAA